CAGAATTGACCCATACCTATTTTAAATACCACTGTTACAATCAAGACTTCCAACTGATAAAAACGTACTTACAACTTCTACATTCTCGTTTGGACATTTTCCACATGGGTTAAAACACTTTTTATGCTACTTATACATATTCTCACATTCTCTGGCAATTCTCCATCGGGACAACAGCCTGGTACAGGGATGGTGGGATCTGGGTGGGTGGATAGCAGCAGTAGATGAATGGTAGCCAAATAAACTTTATAATTAATAATCTGTAATGACTTTGCTATATATTCAAGGCCAGGTTGGACAGACCCTTGGGTGAGATGGTTTAGTGTGAGGTGTCCCTGCCCATGGCAGGGGGGTTGGAGGTGGATGATCTTAAGGTCCTTTCCAACCCAAACTATTCTATGATTCTATATTATCAGCAGTGTGTTTTGGGACAACGCACCCTAGGATTCAGCTACCAGAAGTTGTTTTGTATAATTTTGACCTGAACATTCCTTGACATCGTATTAAGAGGTCATAGATTATATTATTTATTTGTTTGTTTGTTGATTTTTAGAGTGTCCATCTCTTTTATACCATCATTTGCCAACGGATTGGAACGGTAAGTAAAAGACATGTTGTATAACCTATGATTTTGTCTAAATTTAATGAGAATTACTGTTTTCTGTGTTATTATTCCATTTAAAGATATGATGTAGGGAGCTGATAGTACCTTTTAGAAGCTGTATTTGTTTAAATGTGCTGATTTTAATGGTTTTGTTCATGGAAAACCTAAGGTAAATCTTTAAAAGTTCATTTAAAAATACTTTCACAAACTTTTACTCCGTTGTTACACATGGTAGCCTGACTTTCTCACTGCAAGCTTTTAGAACTGAAGGGGTGTCTCTTTGAAGATCTCGTTTTAGACGATGAAATGAAATGTTAGCAGTATGCTGCTGCCTCACTGCTGTCATTTCTAATGTATCTTTTGCTTCCATTATGAAGAATAATGAGGTAGAGAACAACAGAAACTTAATCTTGGAAGATGTTAATGACAATTCACCAGAATTTCTCCAATCTCATTACAGTGCTTCAGTATCAGAGGTGGGTGGCAAATGTTAATGTTTCTTCTCATGACATTTTCAAGTTACTTTTTGGGGCCAAAACATACGAGGTTCTAACGTGATCACACTGATGTTAAATCATGACATGCACTTTTGTGGGACTTGTGTACACATTGCTGTGAGCGTGGAAAAGAATGGCTGGGTTGGATGTACAGCTGAAGGCATGGGGTGAATAAGAAACATTCAGTTATCTAACCTAAAACGGAAATGGGAAGTAAATTGCATATGTTAAGGAGGTGGCACAGCCAAAAGGGGCTTGTGACTGAGCATTTGATGGTCTTTATTTCCTCTAGGTAACTGCAGTAAATGTCACAATTATAAAAGTGGAAGCTGTGGATAAAGATTTTTCTCCTACGTTCAGCACCATCACTTACAGTCTTTGGGTGAGTGCCTTCTGTTTGTCAGAGACTGTGAACACCGGTCTACATTCCATACAGGATACAGCGTGGGATGTGATCCAAGTGAGCTGTCTTGCAGACACATGTTACAGATTACAAATCTGCAAAAAGCTAGCATCAGAAAGACCATTTAAAATTAGGACTTATACCACAGAATCAGCCTAGCATGCAGTGAGCCCCGAGTCTTGTTTCTTAGCATGTGTGAAATGCTTTGTGGCACTGTTCAACTACAGCTGAGGAGCTCACTGGTCCTATTTAGAAGCAGGAATGAAACAGATCCCCCTCTTCTTAAAGTCTGTATTTGTTTTGCTGTCAATCTCCAGTCCTGATGAAGTGTATATGTAAGGCACCTGAAGTAAGATTATTTCAGCTAACACTAGATATCTGCAGTGGAGATCTTCACATCTGATCCTGCTTGCTCTGCTCTTTTCATAGCAGTGAAAGGAAGCTGAATGCCATTCATCTGATCTGCTTTTAGTTATCAGCCATAGGACGAGATAAATCAGATAGAAAGTCTAATGGCATTGATGAGAGAGGCAATAGAACGTGTGGAAGAGGATCAGCATTTTTGTTTTCAGTGGGGGTGGTTGAGAGATTCCTGGTCCATCATGAAGAATAGTCCAATAATAAAGGTAGTAAGAGGACGTTAAATGTAATTCATTGTTAATCATGTAAATTATGTGATTTATTTACTTAATAGGGTCCAAACTCCGATTACTTTCATATAAGGGAAGGAGATGGAAACGTCATGCTGAAAAAAACACTGGATTACAACAAGGTCAACCTTTTCAATCTAACAGTCCAAGCAAAGGTATGGTATCAATTAAATGAAGGAGTACCACAATAGTTCTACAATGATGTTTCTGTTGTTATAACATTCCAGTTTCTACAGATTTACAACCTGGGGAGTTCCAAGCTAAAAGTTGTGTCTGCATCTTGGTTTAGACTGCAGACAATGTAACACATCCTTAATATTTGAGCCACTGTTTCAGTCTCCCATTCAAATACCAGCCCAAGTTTCTTTCTGTGTGTATTTCTTTGACTATGCTTCTTGTATGTATTTATTTTTTAGTATTCTAACATATATTTATCAACTAATTCTGGCAGATCTACCCTATTTTTGCACAACTTACCACCTGCAGTCTCTCTGAGTTTTTTTGAGGTTTGAACCTATATTTGCCTTCAGTTCCTTTTAGAATTAAAAAGAAGTAATTTTGTCGTATCTATAGTGTTATCTAGCAAATAGTGCAGCTGCAGCAAATACACTGTTACTACATTCTATGTGCTACTGTGTAACACCTACGTGATATAAAATTAATAACTAAGAACAATTGCCTTTGGATAGAGTTTTCCTAGAACTGGATTTCCAGAAGTGGAAAAATCTACCAGGGTGAGAAGTCTCAGGTTAAAAATGCTTAGACACTACAAAGCACATATTATATGTTATGTATAGTACGTGCAATATTATTATATTCTGCTGTACTTTCTGCTGAGAAATGGCTCTTTCATGACAATATTTCTTATTTTCTTCCTTCTCTTGGGATGCAGGAATTAATGGGAAACAACAGCGATACTGCATCACTAGTAATTGACGTCCAAGATTACGATACATTGAACCCCTATTTCAGTCAATCCGTGTACAATGGAAACATCAGTGAAAACCAGGTAAAAGCTTTTCACTGAGTGCTGCAAATGTAAACAGATTATTGCTCTCTACAGTGCTTTTCTTTTGAGGAGTCCTCATCACTGCGTAGCATAAGGTGGAGGGCTGCTTTGGTTTGTGCCAACTGGGGAACTGTAAGGTTATCAGCTGTACACTTCCAAGAACCAGGTTAATAGGCCATGTATTACATGAAACATAAAACCTTCTGCTACAGAAACAGGTTCTTTTCTGTTTGGATGAAAAAGAGGGGAAAAAAACCCACAAAACTAAGCAACTGTTGTAACAAGGCTTTTACTGTAAACTTGGAAGGGCAGCTGACTGCCCATCAGTCCTGGAGCTGGCTGCCTGGGTTTGGTTTTAAATAGTGTATTTCCTACATATTTCATTACAATCAGGTAGGCAAAATAAGAATCTGAGATATTAACTGTGGTTTATATTCTATTGTAATTATCTCCTAAATAGGGTGGAAATTTCTCAGTGGAATGTATTTGTTTAACTCAAGCTTCTATATGCATTGACAAAACCAGTAATCAAAGTACAATATTACTAGAGTAATGCACTAAATATAATTATCTTTTGTATTATCCTTATTTATTTATCATTATCTTAATTTTAACGTATTTTAAACCACATGCTTTTTGTGTTTTTCGTTTGGTGTCCCTTTTGTTAGAAGCTCATCTTTAATTGTCTGAAAGGAATCTTTTTAGATGTTCTAAAACATTTTTATCTTCCAAATAAATTGCTATTTGCATTAGGGTGGGAATGGAAATATTCCATGTTACTAACATGAATTTCATCAGTGACTACCTCCTCATAGTCTGGTGTTTTCTCAAATGCAGCGTATTCATCAGGTTATTTTGGTCATCATTTTCCTCTGTAAAGCCTGTCTGACAGAGAGATAATTTTTTCTGGGTCCCAGTGATTAAATACGTGTTTCTACAATCAAAATTGTGACTTAATTAGTTATTGATTTTATGTTTATGTGTAATTTTTGTTCAAGTTAATCAAGTTCACATATGTTTTCTAGGTGGGCCCTCTGGCTATTCACCCAGAAAAGATACTGGCTAAAGATGGAGACACAGGTATAAATGAAAAAGTACTTTACAGCATCAAACTAGGTAAGAGCCTTTATTTTCTTGTAGGCATTCACACAGTTATTTGAAGAGAATGATATGGAAGTGCAGTGTACGGTCAGATGTCTTAGCTGCATGCCTCTTCACTACACTGCTTCTCCATGAGCTAAACTGACTTAATTTCAGTCAATATAGAGGGTCCAACCACTTTAAAAACATTTAGATGTTCTTAACCTCTCTCTAATAAACCATTCCTCAATAAAAGTGTAAGTCAGTTTAGGCTTCCGTTTCATCAAAGGCTTTCCATTCAGAACCATCTAAAGTGAGAATTCCATCAGGAGCTTTTTCTCCCGCTGACAGAACTGCTAAAAGCTCCTGAGATGCTTAATATGAGGCCCTTGAAGTGTGAGTGAATTTATTTAAGAATTGTTTTGAGGACACAGTGTTTGAAAACAAGCCTTTTATCTGGAATGTCTGTTCATTTTTTTGCTGTGGCTGAGAAGATAACAGTCATAAAAAGGACAGATCTTACCTCCTGTTCTGGTTCATTCTCATTAACCTATTGCAATCTGTTGCTTTGCAGTGGAACCCCTGCCCTATAGTAGCAACCACTTTACAATCAATGCAGACACAGGACTGTTGGAAGTAAAGATTGCACTTGACAGAGAAGAATGTCCGTATCTCCTTGTGGGCATTCAGGTAGTGACGGTTTTAGAGTTCAGTGTGTTAATACTGAATCTTGATTTGATAAAATAATATGTAAATCATGGTTGCAGTTAATAGTACTTCTCATAGTAATGCTAAAGGGCAGTTGATATCAAGACTCTGTTCTGCCATTTAAAATACAAACAAAGGAAAACTTCATTCACTGGATATATGCAGTCATGTCATGTCCTTGTGTTAGGCTGGAATGGCTCACCGTTATCAGGGCATGGAATTACAGCTACAAACTCTTTGTTTTCTAGGCAAGCCAGCAAGACAATACTTTCAAAACAGCTGATGCAGTAGTTCTGGTCACTATTGATGATGTGAATGACAATTATCCAGTGCTGTCACAACCAAGTTACAACATCTCAATTCCAGAAAATTTCCCCAATGGGATGGAAGTTCTTCAAGTAACAGCTACTGACAAAGATGAGGTAAAATGACGACGTTGTTATGGTTGCTACAAATACTGCACTTCTGAAATACAATGCAAAATGCGTTTGCATTCTACAGGTATAGTGAATAGTGCTATAGGATATTTTTCCCCGAAGTACCTAAATATGCTTAAACAAAACAATCTTCATTTTACTTCTTTAAGGGGCTGAGTACTAGAAAATAAATTGGCTGTCTCTGAAACTCCTCTGGTTGGCATAAGGTCCCAAATAGGAAAGTACAAAAGTGCAAACCCTCAGCCTGCATGATCTGTTTCTTCCATGTTGTTTGCTCCTCTTCCTTTTTTGGGAACTGTAACCTCAATTAAACAGAAAATTTAATGCTCTCCATTTAATTTTCTGGAAAATAAAAAGAAAGCACCCTAAGTGATTAGCTCCATGATTGTCCTATTTAATAACAAATATCATTACTCTTTGCAGGGAGGCTTCCAGGGAACGTTCATTCTCACTCCAGCTGATAGTCCCTTCCAGTTAAGCCAAGATGGCATCCTAACTGTGAGGAACTCCACATTGTTGGATAGGGAGAGAATATCATCCATTCACCTGCAGGTATTAGAAATAAGCCTATTCCTTTCCAAAGCAACCTGAGGCAAACATGTGCTATCTGATCTGTCCTGGCAAGAAGCTGACTCTGATGTGGATCAGCAGCTTCTCTGAAGAATCAAATCCAGACTTTCACACTGGGGCTGTTTGGAGGGAATTACCACTAGTGATACAGTTTACCCAGCTTCCAAATGTTGTTCATCCTTCTTACTACTTACAGAGCAGGCATTGGAACAAAGCAATGATTTTACTACATCATTTTTAAAGGTCACCGCTCGAGATCATTTGTCACCTTATGGTGAGGGGCACTCTGCAATCAACATCCTGTTGCTAGATGAAAATGACAACAGCCCAACCTTTAGTGGCACACCATATAAACAAGATATTTTCAACAACATGACTGCAGGAATGTCCATTCTTCAGGTACTAGAAGTGTTAAGTGAAGGTGTCATCTTTATGGGTTGAATGTGTGCATGAATCCTTGCCTAAACTTGTGTATTGGCCCTATTGAATGAGAGAATCTTTTCTGAACTAACTCCTCAGAGTTCAGAAATGATCCACCTTGCATTTAAAAGCTTATACCTGTAAATATTCCATAATCACAGTGTCCTGGATGCTCTAATCATACCCCAGGTCTGGAACAAATGATAAAGGATTTTATTCTTGATCTTAGGTACTATGCACCATCCTGAATTCTACAAACAGAAGACAGAACATAAGATTCTTCTTATTGTAGAGTGTTTAATGAAAACTGAATGTTGTTAATGTCCAGAAATTGAAATAATTGTGAAAACTTTTGAAAGGCTGCTGAAAGCTGAAGTGTTGTGGATACTTTTAGATATGATATACATGGCATGATAGTAAATCAACCAGTTAACCAAATGAAACAGGAAACCAAGATAAAAATCTCTTCTGGAAGTGAGATATATAGGGAGTCGCTGTCAAAACTCATGCCTACTGATGCAGATCTACTGATTTAATGGCTCCTGATGTAACCTCTACACTAAAGCAAAACTATTTTTTCCACCAGGTTGCTGCTGATGATCCGGATGAGGGTATAAATGGAGAGATAAGCTTTATCTTAGCTGGTGGCAATGAAGATGGATACTTTGAATTGGATACATCCACAGGACAAATCAGTTTAAAAACAGTAATCCCATTAGGAGTCAACCAGCTTAAGAACTTTGTCTTGTGGATAACAGCTATTGATGGTAAGACAGGAGTTTAGTACAGGTCAACACAGCTATTCCTGGTGTTTTGTTTTGGTTTTTTGATGGGGTTTGGTTTTGGTTTGGATTGGCTTTTTACTGAAGGGATGCTGTCAAAAGAGGTTCCCAGACTTAAGTTTAAAAATACCATGCATTTTTATCTGCTTTTGTTGAAGATAATAAATAAATAACAGAATAATATATATATAAAAATCATATGTATAATCATAGAATCATGGAATAGTTAGGGTTGGAAAGGACCTTAAGATCATCCAGTTCCAATCCCCCTGCCATGGGCAGGGACACCTCACACTAAACCATCTCACCCAAGGGTCTGTCCAAGCTGACCTTGAACACTGCCAGGGACAATTCTACGCTAATGTTGTGTGTATTCAGGTTCTTATATTGTAACCCTCAGTAGACAAAACTGATCTTGGCTGGGATCTCTCAGTGTTACCATAAGAGCAGCAGTAAGGATTAACCCCCCCCCACCAAAATCAGTACCAGTGGCAGTGTTTCTTTTAAGGCAGAAGGTATTTGTGCATCTGCTGGGAGATTTTCTTTTGCTTGCAGGTGGGATGATTCCAAGAAGTTCATCAGTGCCAGTACAAATCTTTGCAGTTGGAGATTCCAGACCACAGTTTGTTCAGAAGGCTTACAACGTGTCTGTGGAAGAAGAGCTAGCCAGTCCTGTCGAAGTAGCAAGAGTAAGAACAACTTCATTCTATCACTTGCACAGGACATGACAGCAATAAGAAAATCCTGTTGTATATGTGCTCTAAATGTCTATATCCTTCTGGGTCATGGATAATTAGATGTTGTGTTTTCTTTCCTGCATTGTGTATCAATCTCCATATACATTACATACTGTGTACACCCCTCTGATGAAGCGTGTCGCTCACAAAGGCTCTTTAATAACAAAGCCTGTTCTTTCCATTGCAAACCTTTAAACAGCACGGGCTACCATTTAACATAAACCCCAACCAAACAAACAAAAACCCAAAGCTAAAACCAAATGAAAAACAACAAAGAAAACCCCAATATGACCTCCCCTTCTCTTCTCCACAAACCAAATAAACCCCATGACTCCCTTAGAAAGTAAACTTCCGAGCTTAGTTCTTGTTGACTTTGGATGTACTCCAAAGCCTGTAGCCAAAGGCTAGAATAGGCAATATTCACTCATCTCTTGATAATAACTCTAACACATGACACGATAGAGCTAAGAAATGGAGACTTCCCATCAGAGAACTGTCAAAAGGGTATTTTCAAAGATGGCTCTAGACCTTGCTCCTCATTTTGACCAAAAAATGCTCAGACAAGCAGGCCACCAGAATGCACTGGGATAGCTCCTTCTTAGACGCAGTTCTGAAGGCAGATGGGAGGTCTGATACCAAAGCAGTGAGAATTTCATGTGTTTTAGTGTTTTGATTTATTGACTTCCTGTGTTAATCATTTTTTCACTTTTTTCATATAAAGGCAGAACCAAAGGCTAAACTACAATCTATTTTTTTGCAACATATTATGTGTATTCACATTTCCTTCTTAGTGATGTTCCAGTGATGATGTAAAGCGCTCTATTTTTATGTGTATTGTGGTTTGATTTTTATTTCTTTTAATGAATAAAATCAGTAAAATTAGTATGAACATAATTCAAATCATTATTCTCTTTTAGACAGTGGCTTATTGTGTTTAATTAATTTATGGATAATATTCTTTATCTTACACAGGTGGAGTATGAGTCTGTAAATCCCCATATACCAGTTAGCTTTCAAGTACTAACGGAATCTGCTACGTTTGACATCAATGCCAGTGGAATCATTTGGACAAAAACCAAGCTGGACTATGAATCCCAGAATAATTACATACTAAATATTTCCCTGTCAGATGGAAACACTGTTGACTATGCTACAGTGTTTGTCAGAGTCACAGATGTCAATGATAACAGTCCTGTGTTTGGTATAAAGAGCACTACCATTTCCATTCCGGAGAACACTCCACCTGGAACCAATATTACCAGTGTGTCAGCTACGGATGTGGATGAGGGCTTTAATGGATTAGTGATTTATGCCCTGAAAGGTGGAGAAGGAAAAATGGATATTGATACTTCAGGATTAATTGTGCTGGAAAAGGAACTGGACAGAGAAAAACAAGGCTTCTATAACTTAACAGTGATTGCCAGTGACCAAGGCCAACCCCCGCTCTCTACAGCTCTCAATTTGACAGTCGTCGTTGATGATGTGAATGACAACCCTCCAGTCTTCTCATCAAGTAGATATGAAATGAGTGTCCCTGAAGATGAAGTGCTTGGAAAGGCATTGCTAACAGTATCTGCTACTGACTTGGATGCTGGGGCCAATGCTCTTGTAAAGTACAGCATCATTAGCCAGCAACCTCCAACCTCGTCACCAATGTTTGTTGTCAACTCAAGCACAGGCCAGCTCACCCTGAGCCAGCAGCTGGACTATGAAACCATAAAGCAATTTGAAGTGGAAGTGGAGGCATCAGATGCAGGGCAGCTGAGTCTCAGCGCTACCACACTTGTTGTTGTGCACGTACTAGATGTCAATGATAACCCACCAGAGTTTGATCAGGCAGCTTATGATGTATTTGTGTTAGAAAACCTGCAAAGGGGTAGTCCTATCTACACATTCAGTGTAACTGACAAGGACGAGGTAGGTACCAAATTAATCTCATCCTGATAAATCAAACTGACGTGGTTTTCTCTACTAATCTGCAAAGATGTAGATGGGCAGAGGGAGATTTCTTAAGTGGTTGGCAATAAATAGGTTTGGGGTCACAAAAACTTCATCTTGCTCTCTATGGAGCCAGGAATAAAACTTCCTCAACCAATGAAGCTAAAACCTTGTACAAAACAGTTTACTGGCTGTATCAGAAAACCTAGGGAGGGCTTCTCTCCCTATACATGTGTAATCCAGGACAGAAACAGTTGTTAGGCTCTGTATACATGTATATGAGATGAATGCACATACGTTACACCAGATAGAAAGTGGAATTGCCTATTATGTGTTATTGCCTATTATGTCAAAATAATCAGTTCTGGTTTAATGTTGCTTGCTTTTATCAGAGAGTATTTGTCAGCTCACTTCTGTAATGCAGTCAACCTGCCCTTAGTATCAGTTTAGTCAGGGAGCAAGGTGGTTTGTAAAGCTGATGGTTTCTTCTTCTTTAATAGGAAATTGCACAATTTCTTTCTGCTTTATAAAAAACTTGTTTCTTTCTCCCCTTGTTTTATAAATGGATTTCATATTTAGCCATGGCACTGAGGAACTGGTTTGGAGGAAAAGTTTTCTGATTTGCTTTAATATTCTTGCTTATGTCAGTTTCAACAAAGCATAAATGCTTCTCCCAGTTCAGACTCCACCGAACTACGTGTAATTGCTCCTTGCATCATGGAGATAGGGCTTAGCAAGGTTTAGAGATGGAATGTGTAGGACTCAAATAGGGAAGCCCACAGGGGCTTCCACCCATCCCAATTTCTGTTTGCCAAAGAAGCCCATAACTCAGGGTGAAAGATTTCTGTATCAAGCCTTGCACAGCACTCGTACTTCTGTAATGAGAAGTCAAATAAAATATCAAATCTTAATAATTTTTAACTTAAATATTAATCATTTTAATCTTAACTGAACTGTGTTTTCTTTTTTAGGCTGGCTTTTCCCAGGGACACTTTGTTCATAACAGTACTTTGTTTACTGTGGATATCCCTGGGATCCTTTCACTGGTTGACACAGAACTGGACAGGGAGACTACACCTGGCTTCACTTTACAAGTAAATCTGGGGACAAGCACTGCAGCTTTGGCTTCATTCCCTTGAACCCTTTGTTGTATCTTCATGAGGTGGTTAAAATGCCAATACAGTCAACTAAAATTCCATTGCTGTTTCTTGCTTTGGCAGGTATGGGCAGTTGATGCTGCAACGAATGGGCTTAGTTCAAGCGCCTTGTTCCACATCACTGTTCTGGATGTGAATGATAATAACCCAGAGTTTCAGATGCAGCCATACAGTTTTGAGATCCTGGAAGGAGATTACATGTTGGGTACTCCCACTGGACAAGTGACTGCTACTGATCTGGATGAGGGAGAGAATGCACGAATTACTTATCACTTGTCAGCTGAGGATGGGGACAATCCATATAGCATCCAACAGGTAGGGGTTTGGATATGCCGAAAACAGTATTTAGATACTGCTTTTCAGGAGCTGGGCTTGTTGAGCCTGGGGAAGAGAAGACTTTTTGGAGACCTTATTGTGGCCTTTCAGTACCTAAAAGGGCCTGCAAGGAATCTGGAGAGGGACTTTTTACAAGGACATGTAGTGACAGAACAAGGGGGAATGGCTTTAGACTGACAGAGGGGAGACTGAGATTATCCATTAGGAAGACGCTCTTCCCTGTGAGGGTGCTGAGGCACTGGCACAGGGTGCCCAGAGAAGCTGTGGCTGCCCCATCCCTGGCAGTGTTCAAGGCCAGGTTGGACACAGGGGCTTGGAGCAAGCTGCTCTAGTGGAAGGGGTCCCTGTCCGTCGCAGGGGGTTGGAACTGGATGAGTTTTAAGGTCCCTTCCAACCTAAACCATTCCGTGAAGTTGCTTGACACAGTAAGAAGATACATCAGGTAAAAGGAGCAGACAGTAACCATTCTAGTATGCATTAAAGCCAGCATGTGCTCTCTAGTTTGGTAGTGTAAGCTGATGTTTAAAAACTAAGGTATACAGGTCAGATTTTGCTTGAAATCTGTATTATATTTGTCCAAAGGAGATGATTTCAATCCCCCATCTTTTTTGAGAACTGGGTGTACAAGGATTATCAAAATGATCTGTGCATTGAACATTATTGTCTTCTCTAGGATGGAACCATTTTAGTCACCGGCTATGTAGATCGAGAAACTAAAGACAAGTATGAGCTGCTGTTGGTGGCATCTGATAATGGAGTACCTCAAAGGCAGGTAAGAGAGGAGAACACATTATTCTTTTTTTTTCATGTCCTTTGATTCATAAATTGAATTGTCTGTGCATTTTCTGAGCCATGGTTTCCTCCTCTTGCATGCCAGAATTTCACCTACGTCAGCATTCAAGTATTAGATGTGAATGATAACCCTCCTCAGTTTACCAGAGCTCAATACTCAGCCAGTGTACGTGTAGCAACAGCAAAAGAAGGAGTGTCTGTACTCTTCGTGTCTGCTACTGACCCTGACATTGGGAATAATTCCCTTATTTCATACAGGTAAATTTCTGTGAAGTTAATAAGTATCTTCTGTTAAAGAAGCAGAAGGGTGGTTTTATTTCTCACCAACTCTTTTTACTGTCATTAAGAAGATAAGACCTGCTCACAGATGCTTTCCAAGGGCTATAATTGGCAATTATTTTTAAACCTGGGACAAAGGACAGTCATTACTGCATGGTTTAGAGATGATCAAATCATGGGTATGCCATAAGGAGGAGAATGCAATCAAATGATAAACTTAGCAACAAGACTGAAAGCCAAGATTTGTTTGAATTTCTGTGATATTGAATCATATAGTGGAGCTTCACCTGCAATTATCTTCCTTCTGAGTTGGAAGGAGATGAATCTGAGTTCAGTATCTGCCTTCTTTTCATGGGAAGATAAAAGGCTTGGGATGTAATGGGAACTGAAGGCAGGAATGCTGCTGGTTTTGATGATGGAAGACTTACTTGGAAATCAAAAGGCCAATATATTTAGGCTAATGACACAGCAATTAAAATCTGTTGCTTAGCCATTCTTTGTAAGTAGGCAAATAGCATCTGTTGAGTGATTGTTACAGAAGTAACAGTAAGTGGATGGCACTTCCAAGGTCATTAATACAATTGGTATATTGATTTCTCTTTATTCAGCCTCCTGAACCATTCTGATGATTTCCATATAAATAACCACACTGGAGAAATCACCGTCAGCCGTAACTTGGACCATATCACAGCTGACAGGGTTGTGACACTGACAGTTATTGCTACTGACCATGGAGTTCCTCAGCTTACATCAAATGGTAAATGATGTCTTTTCACCTTCTTTTCTTATTTTCCCTACATAAACATAACCTTTGCAAACACTGAAATGTTAAATGAATCCCATCATGCCAAGTCAAAGTGAATTAGGGCTGGAATCCATGTTACATCTCAGCAATGAGGAATATTTGCTTTTTACCCTTTGATTCCCTTCCTGGCTGATCACACTAACAGGAAGTTTGGTTTAATAATCCTGGTTAGAAATAAATTTTCTGTATTTCTTGCCATGATGCTCATGGTACAGAGCCCAGGACTTCATAGTAGCAGCCACTCTAAAAAGATGTATTAAAATAACATAAATAATGTGTGTTTCACTTTCAGTTTTCCTTCATTTTCTTAGAATTAGAAACATTTAAACAAATTAGAAACTCGCAAATAACCCTGCTCTTGCAAAAAAATATTCAGTCCTGTGGAATTTTTGGTAACTTCATCTATTTTTTTTAGGGATTAGCTTTGTTATCATGAGCAGGAGAAACAACTGATTTTCTTAACATAGGGAGAGTGGCCACGACAGAATTTGCACTCGGATGGTTTGACATCTATCCCTTCTCTGTTGTTACAAAGGAGTTTAGCATGAGATTATTAACATAATAACATAACGAGTAGCAAACACCTGCTTTATCCCATTGACTTCCAATTTGTGATCGTTGCTCTCCTATCACATTGAAGCAACACTGCTGAGATCAGAGAAGTGGGGTTATTCTGAAACATTAGGTACAAAAGACATCATGTATTACATATCAACACGTACATACACAACATCATATATTACATATCAATCCTTATTGCTGTTGATTTATTTTTCTTTTCATTCCTCTTTCTGTCAGTTTCTCAGTTCCTCAACATTTAGGGAAACAGAGCACAGCTCATGATGATTTCAGCAGCGACTTCACCATTTTAACTTGTTTTCTCTCATTAGCCTCTGTCACTGTCTACTTGCTGGTCAATGACACCAGCTTCGGACTGACCTTTGAAAGCTCCAGCTATGAGTTCAGCATTCAAGAGAATGAACCTGCAGGGACTGCTGTTGGCTCAGTGAAGGCTCTGACTGGCAGCATCGCTGTCCAAGTGGTGTACTCCCTGAAATCTCACAGCGACAAGTTCTCTGTTAGTGGCCAAGGAGACATTGTGGCTCTGGCCATGTTAGATCGAGAAGAAAGGGACCTATACAGCATCATTGTAGAAGCTGTTGATTCTGTGGTGCCACCCAATACAGCTGTTGCTTTGGTACAGTATATTGCATTTTAAAAAGGAATATAAAATACTAAGTATATATATATTTAAAATCAAGCAATACCCAGACAAGCATCATCTGTCATTCAAGCATGATGAGTTTGAGAGCCTTTTATTCCATTTCCCTTTTTTCTCCAAGGAGATGCTACCATCTTGCAATACTTTAAACTGCAAAAATGGCATCATTTCCTGAAAGTGCCTCTGTGAATAACCCATAACCAGAGAAACTGATCAACACTAAAACTGATTCTGTGAATAGTTCTGTCAAACACATGAGGTAGATGAGCTCAAAACCACCAGGTTTTTAATCCTGCTGGTAGAGTCATAGAGTCATAGAATGGTTTGGATTGGAAGGGACCTTCAAAGCTCATCTGGTCCAACCCCCCTGCAATGAGCAGGGACATCTTCAACTGGATCAGGTTGCCAAGAGCCACGTCCAGGCTGGCCCTGAATGTCTCCAGGGACTGAGGCATCTACCATCTCTCTGAGCAAAATTAATGGCATGAGAAAGATATTTCATCTAACATAGAGACAACATGTGAAATAATGTGTTAGAGTGCATGTTATCTCACTTATAGCAGTTAAGAATAAGCTAAGATGATGAAGTTGTGAAAATGTTTAAAGATGCTGCCGTTTTTATGTCTCCCTTTGGTTTTCTGGGTGTGTGAGTTTGGTTGGTTGGTTTGTTTTCCCCCTATACACTCCTATAGGGTAAAATTAACCAAAATTCCCCTTTCAGTGCTGTTTCTACATTTCAAATGTGTCTCTTTTTCTTTCTCTTCTTTCTTTTTTATAAAACACACAGGTGACTGTGAGAGTTAATGATGTCAATGACAACCCTCCAGTTTTCTCAACACTGATTCAAACTAAACTATCAGTTCCTGAGAACGCACCTAGTCTAGACTTGGGTGTATTTTCTGCTACTGATCTGGATATAGGAGTTAATGCACTTATAAGCTACTCTCTGCAAGATGATTTTGCTGGGACGTTCCATATTGACAGCTCTACTGGCAAGCTGACAACAAAAAACTCCTTAGACAGAGAGATGGTGGACAGCTATGAGCTGAAAATAACAGTAAGTAGACAAATTTGATGCTTTCTTAACATAAAAAGGAGAAAATACTCAGTCATCACAAGAAAACCACTTAATCTCAGTGAATTCCATTAGAATCCATTAGTGAATTTCGACTGTTTATTATGTTTTGCGCCCAGAGCTTTGTTTTCTGCTGTGTAAATTGCTATTAGTCAAAAAATGACCTTTGAACATCAGATCTTAAAGGTCACAGTCACATAATAGCTTACTGTGAAATCTGCAAAGTGTTCCTCAGTCCATTTTAGACGATGCAGTTGCCATACTGCTGTATTGCTTTTCCTGCTTTGCCATGCCATATAGTTTGTCCCTTTCCCTTATTTTTTGTCATTTTTCAAGTTATATAGACTTTGATATTTTGAAAACACTTGGAATACAGATTTCCAAATTAAAAAGTAGAAGCATAAAGTTTCATCCAATATTCATGTAGGCGTCTATTTATTCTGATTTACTTGATTCTTACTACTATTACTCAGATAAATTACTGGGCATGCAAAGAAGTGTTCCAGCACCGGCCATCATGTACAAATGTATTTGAAGGAGCTTTTTACTGCTAACAAACAATTTAACAGGTCAAGGAACTTGTGGAATGTGATCAGGACAGCAGAGGAATCATACTAAAAATCAAACAGTGTCTTCTGAAAGTTTCAGAATTAATAAAGTGGACACTTTTTAAGACTAATTGAAAATAGTGTATGTGTATCTATAGATCAGACCTTTCCTATGGTAGATGTTCATGCCATGTAAAACTGACCGTGAATCTGCCATCTACTCTTCACAGCTTGCTTTGTAGACACTTTAAACCCTCAGAATGTAAGGGGTTTTCTTATTCTTTTCAATGCCCCATCACAAATATGTGCCTGTTTGCTATAGTTTCATGTTGATTAGTGCTACATCTAATCACACGACACACCTGATCCGGATCCAGGCTTGTGCTTTGATTAGTTGCTCACTAAATGAGGCAGAGCATGTGATATGGTGAGGATAGCAGCCACAGGAGGATATGCAACACTTCACCTGGAGCTAGAGCAATGTCATAGGGTGACAACTGGTCCAGCAGAAAGTCTTCTGAGACAAAGCTTCACTTTTTTTGGCCCAAAACTGAACTGGTAAAATAGGGTTTTTTATCAATGTAGTGCTGCATTTAATGACAAATTGTTTCTACACAGGCCACCGATTCTGGCAAACCGCCCCAATCTGCAAGCTTAGTTCTAAGCATCACCGTGGAAGATGAGAATGACAACGCACCGGTGTTCCCTCAGAGGTCGTACTCTGTGACTGTGAAAGAGAACGAGCCTCCACATGTGGTATGTGGTACTGAAGAATAAGCAGGCTGTTCTGTGGTTGTTGTCTATATGTACACTTGGAAGTGGCAGTAATCCAATGGTGAACATATTTCTTTTACTTTGTGGAGCCTGTAAAATCACAGAGCATATTCAATTTATATGACAGCTGAGTGCCTATCTTACTGACTTTTCCTAAAGCACCCTTTCCCTCCTGTCCCCAGCAGTGATGCCACGCTGCATGGATCTAGCTTTTCAGGGCAATGTGTTTTAAAGACGCTGTAGGTGTTGTGCATGTATCCAGCATCCCCCGTGTTCTTCCTTCTCTTCTCCCATTTGTGGCTCCATATCCATCTTGCAGATGTGAACTAGTGATTTACAGCAATCAAGAAGTACCACCTAGGAATCTGTAACATCTGTTACCTGCTCTGCTATATGATGTGTCAGTATTCTAGCAATACAATTAATGGCCATATGAGTAATACCATCAGTAAACTCTATATAGTTAAATACCAGTTTTGTGTGTGTCTTTCCGCTTCTTTGCTCTCCTCTGAACCTGATGGCTTTGGTGTTTGTTTTGTTGTTGTTTTTCTCATTCAGATTCTGAGTGCAGCAGCCACAGATGCAGATATAGGGCACAATGCCATTATTCATTATGTTATAATTGGAGAGACTTCTTCATTTCTTGTTGGAGAACTTTCTGGAAACATTACAACTCTTCAACCGCTGGACTATGAAAGTCACTCCGAGTATGCATTTCTTCTGAGAGCTTTCAATCCTGGAGAGCCCAGCCTCCAGGACACAGTAAACATTACAGGTAGCCCCAGTTTACCATATAAGATTTACCTTATGTTTCCCTCACGGGAATATTTCACCATGTGTAATGAGGCATAAGGATAGCCTTCAACAGTAACACAGTCTGCTCAAGTAAATCATCAGAAATGATGATGTGACCTTTTCACTGCAGCCAGATGAAGTTTTCCTTAGAGAATGTCTGGCTTGTGTGAAAAACCTTCATTTTTGACAAACGGACATTACTTTCTTCAGTGTATTCACGTTTTCTATGGCATTTTTGCAGTACCTATTGACATCTTGATTGAAAAGGTTTCCAAAACCATAATTCAGTCTTTTCTGCTTGTTTACAGAAAGCCTGCTAAAAAATGTTGACCATGATTTTTAGTGGTTAAAATAACAGTACTTGATTATTGGTGTTTTTTCCTTAAATCAATCTATCTATCTATCTACCTACCTACCTACCTATCTACCTACCTACCTACCCATCTACCTACCTACCTATCTGCCTGCCTACCTACCTGCCTATCTACCTATCTACCTGCCTATCTATCTATGTATCTGTCTGTCCGTCCATCCATCCATCCATCCATCCATCCATCCATCCATCCATCCATCCATCCATCCATATCTTTTGAAGTTGATATCCTAGTTTTTGGCCAGCCCTACTTTTGATCAGTATGACTGGAAGTATTGACTTATCTATTACCTCCTGTGCTGTGTTTTGTTTTTTTATGTTTTTTTATGTTACTGTACAGCTGCTTCACTAATTGTGGACCCTTACTGTGCCAGGTCATGTACAAATATAACACTAAGCAATCCTGTCTCACAGGGTTTGCAATCTGAGCCAAAGACTAGAGATACCAGATGAATATGGACACAGAAGGGAGCCCAGTGAAAACAACAAGATGGTATTATTTATGACAGATAGTAGTGACAACAATAAGATGTCACTACTATCTGCCATAAATAATACCAACATGCCAGCTAGAAGTTTCCCTATTGTAGGGAAACTATTGCTTCAACAGTAATAGTTTAATCCACAAAGGCAAGTGTTTTGAAGTACAGAAAACAAGATTTCCATCTGGTTTAAACTGGAAGAGCTCCAACTCAGAGGAGCTGTGCTGGTTTATATTTGCTGAAGAAATAGCTTGTAACTGTTCAGGTGCAATTCCTGTTTACACTCAGACATGGACCTTCTTTTACTAGTTACTGTGGAAGATGTTAATGAAGAAGGACCCGTATTTGACAGGCCCTCATACCACCAGATCCTTCTAGACAATTCTACAGCTGGCACACTGGTAGTAGATATCAATGCAAGAGATGAAAACAAGGATTATGACGAAGGCATTTTCTACAGCATTTCAGGTATGTTAGAAAAAATCTTATGGCTGTTTATTAGTGGGGTACTTGCATGATGCTAAACTGAGCTGCATGACACAAGAATGAGAAGTAATGGTAGTAAATTGAAATGGCAGGTTCTGACTGAAAATAAGGGGAAAACAAGTCCCCTGTGAGCACAACTAAGTACTGGGACAGGTAGCCCAGAGAGGCTGTCCTTGGAGGTTTTCAGCTCCTGATGGATCAAGGCCTTGAGCTTTCTATTCTGGATTCATTCATGACTCTGCTTTGTGGCAAGAGGTTGGACTAGAGGCCTCACAAGGGTTTTTGAGCCCAAGTGATTCTGAGATGCAGACACAGAATAAAGAGAGGCCACGTATCTTGCTCCAAATCACACGTACAGATTATGATTTCAACCCATGTCTCTGAAGTCCTGCACGCATAATTCAGTCTCTTGTCTCTGCTGGCCCTGTTTAACATCTCCAACACTTGTTTTTCTGTTTTTAGGTGGAAACTCGGAAGGCCTCTTCAGTCTTTCCAGTACCACAGGAGAACTCAGGTTAACAAGAGACTTATCCAAACTGAGTGCTCCTGTGTATTACTCCTTGATAGTCACTGCTACAGATTCAGGTCTGCCACCTCTTTCAACTTCTGTAAAGGTACTGAAATGTTTACTTGTGCAGTTTATTCCCCAGGTTCTTTTACTCTAAACTGAGTGTAACTACACCAGGAAATGGGTATTAGTGAGGCAAAACTATGCAAAATGGGAATCGGAATGTCAGAGTCCCACTTCTGTGTTGGGAACAGGATACAGGATGATTACAAAGTTATGGCACTACATAACGGCCATTCCGTTTCAGAAAAGAAAGTCAGGAGTTCTAGACCCTGTGAGGGAAGAAGATGAGAGAAGTGGAGACTTCTGTGTAAGGTCAAAGAGTGGGACAGTCACAGGGGATGTAAGGGAAGTATGTGAGAGAATAAACAGGAGACAGCAAATAAGGTGTTCCTGTTTATTTGCTTATATTAGAAGGAAAAAATATCTAAATTGAAGACTGAGGAATGTAAATATGATAAAAGAAATACTCTTTAATACAGTCCTTGTGACTTGTTGGTGATCTTCTGCCACTAAATATCACAGCTTAGCAGAACTGAAAAACAGGACTAGAAAAGTACATGGCTAAGGACATACAGAAAATGATATTCAATAGGACCTTAAAATGTAGACTTCTGAGGCATCATTCTTCGGAGCTGTGGGGAGCAGCTGTCTGGCACCATTTATAAATGAATTACCTTTATTTTTGTGAAGCAGTAGGCATTATTTGTGTACTGCCCGTCACCTTTATTCATCTATAAAGTCAGTTGTTATAATTCAAAACACATAGAAGCTCCTGCTCTGGTCATGCATTCTCCAGTGGAAGGACTTGTTGCAAATACAGGTCAGTACCTCTCTCCAGGAGCCATTTGCAAAAGTGATCTGAAATGTGGTGTATGTGCCAAACTGGAATCCCTTTCTGTATGTAGGAAAGCATACAGGTGAACCTAAACTGAGGAGGCATTTTCACTGACCTTCACTGCCTACAAAGCACTAATGTCTCAAACTCAGCACACAGCAACCATCAGCTTCTTATTGACAAAGTTCTGGACTTGTGCTGTTGCGTACCTCAGTAGACAAGCCTGCTACACCTGAAAACAGAACCCCTGTGGTCATCTGCTTTTCTCTGCAGGTGTCAGTGACCATAGCTCCCATCAACGTGTCATTCCCGGTGTTCTCTGAAGAAGTCTATCAGCCTGCCCCTCTGAGTGAGAAGACGCTGCCAGATACATTTGTCGTACACATCGATGTGTTGTATAAGGACCCTGTGAAATACAGTATTGTGTCTGGGGATGAAAAGGGTAAGCTCTTCATGTGAAGTAACAAGGAGGGTGTGTTAAACAACTGGTGCTGCAGGGCGTTAGCTTTTGGCTTGTTTCTTCTCTCTCTTTGCTCTCTCTTGTCTCAGCTCCACAGCCATTAATATTGGATGTGTATCATCCAGATGTACACGTGATATGGATCGGGTGTGGGCACATGATTGAATTTCTGTCAGATTAGGGTTGATACAGATACATGATACAGAGCTGGCTGCACCAGCTGTATGCTTTTTTGTGTCTGCTACAGGAAGATGGTGGTGCCTCACCAGGCATAACATTGCAGTGGCTGGAGAAAGAATACCCAATTCAGTACAGAGGCTGCTGGCTGAAAAACTAACTCAGCAACATCTTCTTAATGAATGTGAATGTGTGGAATAAGTTTACAGGGGATGGAGTAGACCAGTGCTTTGTTGTGGGCCTCTCTTTACTAAACATAGAGCTGATTTTATTGTATCACCAAGCTTAGCATCTCTTAGCATTTCTTTTTTGTAAAGTGTTTTATATGAAGTTGTGGTCTCCTTGAAGTTATTTGCAGAATTCAGTAAGAACAGGACTTAAAGGAAATAGAACAGTTTCTGACTGAAACAGGGACAAATAATCTTTGCTTCAGAGGAAGGTGGAGACCTTCTGAATAGAGTGGTGGAGAGAACTTCTCCCTTTTGGTTTCTATTCTTAAATCACTTGGTTTTGTTAATTACAGACCCGGATATCTCTGACATTCTCACAAATCTTGCTTTGTTCTTTGAACAATCCTGTAACATAAAGTATCATTTCCATTGAAGGATTCATATAATCAGATTTACTATTAAAATCACAAACAGAACAATTTCTCTGTGTGTTTGTTTTTTAAACAGGCTATTTCATTATCGATTCATCCACTGGCATTGTAAGAACAAGGAAGAATTTGGAAGCGGAAGACTTCCCAGCCGTTTTCAATGTGCAAGCAACAGATTCATCTACTGCTAGCATATTTAATGAAGTTTCTGTGAATGTGACAGTTATCGATGAAAATGATTTCCCTCCAGTTTTCCCATCCTCTCTACTAGAAGCAAGATTGGAAGAGGTAAGAAAATGCCATCAAAACTGAATCGCAAAAATAAATCCTTAGAATAATAATAACAATTCTAAAACTCTTTTGGTGAGGGTGCGAATAAACGTTCTGGAACTGGACAAGCTTGCCATTCTGTTCTGCCATATGGTCTTTCAAGGTTTAGTTCAAGCTGAAAATCCCAATGCACAAGGAGAATGGTTCTGGAAGCGTGGACATATTGAAGGAAAAGCGAATCTTTTACTAATAAGGGGCTCCATGAAGGAAAAGCAGCCACCTGGTTTTGCACATCTGTACACAGAGTATTTGTGTGCATTCAAAATCCAGTGGATATGCTGGGCACCTCACAGACTCTCACTCTGCCTTTTGGAAGGGAGCTTCCTACAGAGAAGTAACAGGCAAAATGCTCTCATTTAGCAACGTTTCTCCTCTTTCTCCTGTACAATCTGTTGTGATTCTTCCTGACACGAAGACATCAGTGGCGGAAAGCAAGCCAGATTTCAGTCTGGGGCTGCTCTGTTATGATAAGCCTGCAAAAGAAGCCACAGGGTTTAATTATGCAAAAGCATCTAGCTCAGCATTTCACTTTTCAATTTTCAAACAGCACTGTTCACACTTCAATCTGCTAGCTACATCTTAAAAACAAGCACACTGAGTTTCCCAGCTGATTCCCACACGTTCTCTCTAACAGCCACAACTGATTTAAAATCCAGTCCATTCCTAACACTGAGTTGAATATAGGCTTCATTATTGCACCTATTTTTAATGTTCCCAGTTAGTTCAGTGGAGAAGAGTTGGAATCACATTTCCTGACCTTAAAAATTGATTTGCATGTGAAATATTTAGAGAGTAGGAATTGCTGGATGCCCTGTTGGATCAAATAACTTCAGAGCAGGTCTCGAATAGCCGTGCAAGTGAAGCACTGATATTCACAGTCCAACTTGATTCAAACAACGTTTCGAAAGAGGAAGAAATGTATTATTATTAACCAAACAGTGTTCAGGAAGAAAAATGAGTTTGAAGTTGAGAACATCCATTGAGTTTCATGGAAGTACAAGCTCTTAAACATGAGTAATTCCTCAACAGATCGGATGCTCAAGGTTACCATTTGGTCTGTTTGAAATCACCCTGAATTTTCTTTCTGAAGATTGCTGCTGTAGGTAGAGCCATGGTGAGGGCAAATAGTTCTTTTCTGGAAATTAGAGAGAACAAGATATTCTCTTATTGTGCCCTACAAGTTGTATACTTTTGATTTTAAAATGTCTATACTCCTGTAAGTTTAGGCACTATTTGTCACTTCCTTCCTTTTACATCACTTAAGAAACTGCAGCTAACCATTCTCTGACAGCCTCAACCTATTCTCCATCTACAGAATTTACCTGCTACTCGGATCATCCAGCTGGAAGCTCAGGATAATGATACAGGTAGAAATGGTTTCCTGACATACGGCATTCTTAGTGGAGACAGACTGAAGTTCAGGATAGACGAAGCGACTGGAATTCTTTATTCCACCACCTCCTTTGATTATGAAGAGGAACCTACGGAGTATCAGGTTTGCTTTAAGTCTCAACTCTTCGAAATCTTTCCCTTTGATAACAGGTCCCAGTTTTTTGTTTAGCTTGATATTGCCTGAACATTTTATGCACTGTTTTAGGATATGAGCATCTCGAGATGTGATGCATTATTAAAGCAAGACACTGCCTCAAAAGTATAAGGAAATTCAAGCAAGGTTCATTGTTCACATGTCCTACAAACTCTCAAGCACTTCAGCACACGAACAACTAACTCTGCAATGACAGCTCATGTATTCAGAGCTGCCTGTTTGTTTGAATCCATACTGGACTGATATCTTGCAGTTATATATATATATCTCAGTTATATATATATATATATTGTTGCTGCAACTGCTGGTTATTTTGTATGATTAGTGAATTTGTTTGCCCTATATAGAAAGACTTCATCTATTGACAAAGGACTCCATAAGCTTTCAGTAATAATTTTGAAGTGAATTCAGAATTTGACTTAACATTTCTAAGAATACTCCAAAGTTTAAAATTCATCAAGATGTTTTAATCCTTATGCAAGTACCTATTTGTATGATTTCTCACAACTGTACAACTTACAGGTTGTGATATATGCTGAAGATGATGGAATCCCTGAGAAGAAGAGAGGTTACTGCACGGTTGTCATAAAGATCATTGATGTTAATGACTGGCCACCTGTGTTTGATCCAGTGACTGAATTCAGTGTAAATGAGAATGTGCCTGTGGGATTCATAGTTGGGAAAATCACAGCAACGGACAGAGACACAGGAGACAATGCCTTTGTTGTATATAACCTTACAGGTAACAAGGAATTCTCTCACTGCACTGGAACAACTGTCACTTTGTGGTCTATACTGTCACAAGTATAAACAGCATTTATGTGTGTTACCTCCTCACCCCTTTCTACATAAGATCCTTTTTAACCTGGTTTGGTATTTTACTGATTTATCCTCACACAACTTTCAAGCTGATTGAATAGGAACTTCTTTTGCAGAAACTACAACTTACGCTTTAAGTCATACTCTTAATTCTGTCAAAAATCAGCTTTTAAAAAAGTCTTTAGTTGTGTGGCTGCCATAGCTGCAATCAGCAGGAGTAATTTTGATAAGAAAGGTGCTCATGGCTTTCTTGAACAAGGCTTAAGGGGCTAGGGCCTTGTAGAACCCATTGTGCTTCCACCAAGTAATAAATGTTGCTAAATTAAGCCTCTCCTCATGCTATGGACTGTGAGCACTTCACAGCTACTAGGAGCAGATATAAATGGTATCACAAGCATGTGAGGGACTTGAGTCACTATCACAAGCTGCTGGAGAGCAGTGTTCTTCACCCTTGTGCCTGACACCTTTACCTCTGCAGCACAAGTGCCACAACAAACAGCAGGTCACCTACTCTGTGCCTCAGATCTCTGCCCAGGCTATTAAGACAAAGGGCCTGCAATTTCATTGTACATTAATGTGCCAGCTTGAGAACTGCAGTGACCGACAGCTCTAAGTTGTATTTCCTGTCACATTTAACTGTGGTAGCTGATGGCATTACAGCTGGGAGGAGCACCCCTTTGGCCACTGTCCCTATATCTGACTGAGATGGAGATCTAGACTCCTCTGGACCAAAGGCTGCAGGAGTTGAAATAGCTGGTTTTGTTGTATGGACCATCAAGAGCGATATGTGTATAGTTTATATGTTTTTAGAGCCTTTCATTTCCAGTATGCATATAGACTTTGAGGTGGCTTTGGACATGGGTGGCCAAAACCAGCAAAAGTCACTGCCAGGGCTTTTGACAGTCAAACTGATTTCTCTTAGAGATGTGTGTGCCACTCATCTCTGTGTTAGAATAAATTCAGTGACATCTCTTAGAGGTCTTGGCAGCAGCACTGTCTTGTTAACCCATTCTGTGGGCTCGCATTTCAAACATTCATCCACTCAAAGTATTATCTGGGTTTCTTCTGCATTATCTAGATGATAAAAAGTGTTTTTTTTAAAGACACAGGTAAACATATAATTTAAGAGTATAGTTAATAATGTGTTTCTAAGATATATTCATGTGCTTCTAAGATGTATTCATTGATAATGCTTCTTTAAATGTATCTTAGGTGGTGCAGAAAATGTATTTGAAATAGATGAAATAAATGGCGACATTAAGATAAAGAACTCTCCAGACTATGAAATCATGAATAAATACAACCTTACAGTGAACGCAGTCAACAATAAATCTGCCCCTTTCTTTCAGGTAAAAGACCGTTATTGTAATGAACAGTGACTCTTCTATTCAGAGTGGATTTGGCACTAGGAGACAGGGAGCTATCAAAGACATTTATTGTGCAGAATAAATTAGTCGCCTAATCATGGGTCAGACTTCCGTGCCCTTTGTCCATGCTGAGTAGTATTATACACCATAATTAGTTGAAATACTTCAAAATCATGGTAGAATTTGACCCTGAATTGTTTGCAGACAAACCTGTGCTGGGGAACTGGATTTCTCGCCTGCTGCTGTTAGTACTGTGAGTGCCGTGCTAAGTTTTCATGGGAGAAAAAGTAATTTTCAGCAAATTGCTCTAGTTGTGCTGTATGTATTTGGAAAGCTACTGAACACTCATTTAACAGAATTAGAACACGTGTGGTTCCCTCACCTGCATCTAGCAGCAGCAGTAGGACATGCTGGCATCCTGGTCTTACTCTTTCAGACACCTTTCAAGAAGCAGAATCTACTGCAACACTGAGTTCCTTCCTCTCCTGCATTAAAGTCCTGCAGTGATCTCTGATGTTGAGCTCGCAAAATCAAACCTAACACAATATTTTACTATGGCATTTTCAAAGCCTGATTTATACTTCGTTACATATGCAAATAACAAAAAAATGTCACTGAGACATTCTAAACCGCATGAAACCATTTTGTTTTCTAGGCAACTACTCATGTCAGTGTTCTGGTGATGGATGTGAACGATAATGCTCCAGTGTTTGCTCAGGATTCCTATTCTGCTTCTATAAACATGATTAATCCTGTAGGTGCTCATGTCATAACCGTGAGCGCTACCGACAAAGATCAGGTAACTACGCTTGTTTGACACTGCTGGAGGCTGCAGCCCGAATGCGTTACTCTCCATTCTCTAGGCATGAAATACTAAACGTAGCAGAAAGGGAATTCTGTCTGACTAACAGCACTGGGAATTGGAAGTTAGGACTGTTGATGTTTCTGCCTTGATGCTGATGTACTCACTGTCTTTGGCCATGTTTCTTCAGCTATATTTGCCTTGATTTTTCCCCTTCCTATATGGAGTTGTACCAGTCTGTCAGGAGTATACAAGGACTGAAGCAATTTAGTATCTGCTAAGTTATTTGAACTTCTGAAGTAGAACTTGTAAAACAGATTCTCTAGCTGTATATAGCTATAAACATCATATAGCTGGCTTGAACATGGAGATGCCTGCTTATCAAACACCTCTCAAGTTGGCACCGCAGCTCATTCTCTTTGTTCCCATTGCTTAAAGTAATTTTGTTTGCTAGATCTGTACTGCACCCATCAAATAGTACCCAGGCACTGGCAGAGATATGCAGTAGTCAACCAGATCACCATGACAACATCAGCACTAATTATGTCATTTAAGAGATGAAACGTTGAGCAGTGACAACAAAATAGGTGTAGCAGGTGCCTTCCTAGTTCTTCACGCATAATTTTGGTTAAAACAGCAGCAGCTGTGGTACATTGCTGCAGATAATCCAATGGCTCCTTTATGTCATCCTTCTCTATGATGTGAGAAATCTGGAGAGGGGCTTTGGACAAGGGCCTGTAGGGACAGGACAAGGAGAATGGCTTTAACCTGCCAGAGGGGAGATTGAGATGAGCTCTTAGGCAGAAGCTCTTCCCTGTGAGGGTGCTGAGGCGCTGGCACAGGGTGCCCAGAGAAGCTGTGGCTGCCCCATCCCTGGCAGTGTTCAAGGCCAGGTTGGACACAGGGGCTTGGAGCAAGCTGCTCTAGTGGAAGGTGGCAGGGGGCTGGAACCAGATGAGCTTTAAGGACCCTTCAACCCAAACCAGTCTGGGATTCTATGATTTAATATTAGAAGTGAAATTGCTTATAAAGATTGGTGGATCCGGTGAGATCTGCACTGAGAGCCCAATGAAACTCATCCTTCAGATAGTCTATCTGGTCCTCTGCTGCACTTGGAGGATTCCAGGGCAGAGTCCAGCACTGAAATTACCTGACAGTGTCTCTCTTCCTCCCTCTTCCTGAAATAATTCTAACTATGCAGATTCCCTGGTACTAACAGGCATTCCTGGCAGGGTTTGCTCCTGCTGCTACAGAGCCATGGAAGAAAAGAATCCAATGCTTTTCAGAAACAAGAGCAAAGTGCAACAGAGCAAACCCTAAGGGTTTGTCAAAATGGCTTGTTTCAGGAAAGCGAAGTGATGTGCACAGAGTAAAACGTGCCCAGCTCTCCTGTGGTGGGCAGGAATGGGGCTTACCCTCATAGCAGTGGAGAGGCTGCGCTTCTCCTCAAGGTGCCAAAAGGATCCAAGGGGCTTTGGCTTATCCTCATTGACACCTTTAAATGACTCACTACTCTGACTGTCCCACTCTACACGTGTCCTTAACTTACTTCCTTTAGAGATCTTCTTACTCCACATTCTTACTATGTAACTGGCCAACTGCTTCTGAATTTTCCTTTGCTTTGTGTTTCTATCATCACCCATCTACCACAGCTAACCCCAGCTTTTCATTCCTGAAACAAATTCACTGGGGTTATTCAGACATTGTCAAGTCTTTGTTTCAATGTGTATCCTACCCTTCAAAATGTGCTCCCAATGAATAGCTTTGCTATGGCTGCATTTTGGCTCTTAGAACATCAGTTAATTTGGGGGGAGTTAGAAGGAGTTCTGCCCACTGGCCCTTTCCCTTGCTGCTGCTCTTGTGTTACAGCTTAAGCCAAAAGTAGCTCTGAGCCTGGTTCTCTCTAGTTCCTTACAATGCCTTGGACATTCTGTCCTTTAAGCATGGGAATATTGAGATTCCAGTCAGCCTATGGAACTTGGGGCACTGAAGTAATGTGGTCCTGCAAGCAAGAGTTTCCTGAAGCTGTGTTCTTTTCACGGCAGGGGTTAAATGGCCTTGTTGAGTACTACATCCTCCCTGATCAAAACTTCACCCCGTTCTTCCTGATAGAAGATATGAGTGAGGGGAAGATAATTACAACTGGAAGCCTGCCTCAGTCTGGGGAGATGCATTTAACAGTGATGGCAAGGGACAAAGGCTCTCCCTCTTTAAATGCCACTGCTGTGATTACTCTTGACGTGCTTGACAACAGCCCATTTGTTCCTCAGTTTAACAGGAGTGAAATCAGGTGAGGCTTTCATATTAAGTTAGTACTCTGCTCTTGTGAGACCCCACTTGGAGTATTGTGTGCAGTTCTGGTGTCCTCAACATGAAAAGGACATGGAACTGTTGGAACAAGTCCAGAGGAGGCCACGAGGATGATCAGGGGACTGGAGCACCTCCTGTATGAAGACAGGCTGAGAAAGTTGGGGCTGTTCAGCCTGGAGAAGAGAAGGCTGCGTGGAGACCTCAGAGCAGCCTTCCAGTATCTGAAGGGAGCTACAAGGATGCTGGGGAGGGACTCTTCATTAGGGACTGTAGTGATAGGACAAGGGGTAACGGGTTAAAACTTAAAGAGGGGAAGTTTAGATTGGATATAAGGAGGAAGCTCTTTACTGTGAGGTGGTGAGGCACTGGAATGGGTTGCCCAGGGAGGTTGTGAATGCTCCATCCCTGGCAGTGTTCAAGGCGAGATCGGACAGAGCCTTGGGTGAGATGGTTTAGTGTGAGGTGTCCCTGCCCACGGCAGGGGGGTTGGAACTGGATGATCTTAAGGTCCTTTCCAACCCAAACCATTCTGTGATTCTATGATTCTATAACTAGTACATATTTTCCAGGTAGTTGAAAACATAGTACAGTTGAAGCTCATTTTTGCATTCTTCCATGCAGAAGAAAGGACATTGGGGTTTCTTTAAACAACACATCCAAGAAATTCTGCTATGCCACTGGTTCTGTGAATGTGATCTGAGGCATCACCTTTTCTTTATCGTGCAGCCTGTATAAGCCAGGCTCTTTGTCCCTTTCCTCTTGCACACTAATGAAGCATTTTTCCTTAGCCTTTACTCAGGGATAAACAATGTCTGCCTAGGAAAGTAGTGCTTGTACTCTGAAAGTCATGGAACTCCAGCAAACAGCTAGAGGGAAGGGAGCAGGGTTTCCCACAGAGAATTTGCTATTAAAGAGTTAAATTGCAAAGCCTGGCAGTGCAACAACTGCTGGGGAGTTTAACATTATGGTTTCTCATTTATTTCCTGTATCAGCGTTTCCATTCTGGAAAACACAGGAGTGGATTATTTAATTTATGATTTTACTGTGATTGAAACTTCAGGAAAACAGATTGACTACACGATTGCATCAGGCAATGAAAAAGGTGAGTACTATTTCCCCTACAAGTTAAAACAGATAACAGAATAACCTGTCTTTTGTGTGGCAGATGTTGCTGTATGCAAATGAGGAGATGGAAAGCATGTCTTATTCTAAAAAGAAAATACACAGAATTTCTTTCCTGAGCTTTTTTTTTTCCAGCATGGACTTTATTCACCTTCTTTGGCTAAAAAAGGGGTAGTAACTTGCTAGAAAATGGGTTCCTGTAGTCTTAAATTAGGGTAACCTGGAGGCTGAGGGAGCTAAAATAGAAGTCGTTGTTAGCAAGCAGCTTCCTCCCTGCCAATCACTTTTAGTCTATCATTTCCTTGCACTGCCATCTATGTTGGGGCATCTGCCTCCTCCAGCTCCTGCAGCTGTGCTGCATCTCCACATGGTGCACAGAAAAGGGGAAATACATATATGGAATCTGAGAGAAAAAACTTGGAAATCTGTGAAAATGGAGCTGTGCAACGAGAAGCTGCAATTCTGTTTCCCAAGTATATTGCTCCTTGACATATTTAAGGCCTGCTTACTATGATGCCTCTTCTGCTCAGCCATGGGAAGTGTCACATTTCACATTCTTGAGAGCAAAGGAGTCATGGAAACATCTTAAGGGCAACTAAGAGGTAGGAGGGATAAAAGTGAAATGGTACCTATAACAATGAAGGTACATGCTTTCCCTTTCAGGTCATTTTAGATTGGATCCAAAAAGCGGTCAGCTGAGAACAGCAGTTAATTTGAACTATGAGGAAGTTTCTGAGTATGTGCTTTTAGTTGAAGCAAATGAAAACCTCCCATCTGCCACACAAGTCCAGTATGCAAGTAAGTTTTTGCTTTGGAGGACATTCCAACTTAAATCAGGGGCAAAGAACACTTCTTCTGTATTTGCAACCCAATATAGGCTCTCACTGAGGCCTCAGGAGGAGTGAGTTTACAGCTCCTCTGGGCACATCCCTGCTGCACTCGCTTTTTTCTCTTGCCTCCTCACATGCAGCACAGGTACGGCTGCAAAGCCACAGCCTGACCCAGCCTTTGAGAGCTGTACTTTGGTGCTGTCTGTTGCTGCAGTTAACTTGTGTTCCTCTCACAGGCCTGTTTGCTGAAAACGTGGCACTGCTGAGAGTCTCGGTGCAGGATGTAAATGAAGAGCCAGTATTTTTGAGTGATGCCTACTCCGCTCGGATACCCAACTCTGTGCCGTACAAGTACCCTGTTATTACAGTGCAGGTAAATACATCCTCCTCTGCTCTACATGAGGACGGAATCTTTTGTTAAGATTTGGATTTCTTCCATAGTTAAACTGGTTTAAAGGAGCTCTTCTGTCTGCTCTTGAAAGCTTGAGACAGATTCAGCCCATCATCCAGGTTTAACGTAATGCTGGTGAAAGATGGGGTGTTCAGGTAACTGGTTCATACTCATCCTACCAGTGCGTCTGTCAGAAGTGCTAGATACTCTGTTCTGACCCATGCTGCCACTATGGATTACATACCGCACAGCCTGTTGTTCTTGCTTTGGCACTGTTAACCACTTTATTACCTATCAGACCCAAAAGGGAAATGAATTACCAAATGGAGCAATTTCCAAGTTTGGTGTTAGCGCTCAGTTCTAGCCTGCTCCTTTTATGCTTGTGGCTGTAGAATCCTCCAGACCCTATTATGGTAAATGCCTTTCCTCTTTTACACCCGTGCTGTGATTCTGATAGTCTGTGCCCCACTGTGTGTTTAGTGCAAAGAGAAAAACATGACAGCACCATCCTAGAATACCTGGTCTTACAAACAGCAACTGCAGTTTAATGACTGAAGAGCAATATCAGCCCGAAAGCCACAAGCTGAGTTTCACAAATCGCCTTTTTTAAACCCAGGCCACAGATCCGGATTCAGGAGACAACGGCCGCCTGCTGTACAGCTTAGTGAACAATCAAAGCAATGAATTTGACATCGATGAAAATACAGGGCAGGTTTTCACCGTGTCTGTAGCAGGAAAGGCTGGAACATTTTATCTGGAAGTCCAAGCCACAGACCAAGGCACAAGCAGACTCACAGCCCGGACAACAGTCAATGTAAGAAAGACTATTTACAGTCCTGATTTGCTTTTATGTCCATACTCTGTGTACAAGAAGTATTTAGTATTGACTTTCAGGCCAGAATTATGTGGTTACCATTTCCACTGACATAAAAATATGCTGCCATGAAGGCTGGCTTTTAGAAGACAATTATTTTACATCAGAGGGGACCCTGGGGGTTTATTTGTTGGGGTTTTCTTTGAAAGTCAATCTAAGCAAGGTACAAATGTTTGAGAAAACCTTACATGTGCTTTCTTTCTTTCTTAGGTAACTGTGGATTCCAGTTCCAGTAACAACATTGTGGTGGTGGTCCTTAGTGAGATGATCAATATTGTTGAGAGAAACATTATTGAAGTAAAAAGGTATTTCTGAAACTGCGAAGCTTATTGCGATATAAAATCTAATGACAAGTTTAGGGTCCCTTTGAGATGCAGGTGTCTGACAGCCTGTAGTGAGGGGAGGTGATACAGCCAGTGCCCATGAAGAAACAAGGCCTTCAACTTGTTGCAGTTCAGGATAATTTGAGGGAATTCAGAGGAATCCACCAGTTTTTACCTGGTAAGGCTTTGGCTTAGGCTGATGAGTGCCAGAGTGGTCACTGGACTAGACAATTCCAAGAGGTCTCTTCCCACCTCCATGTTTCTGTGATTTTTAACAGCCTAGGACAAATTTTCATTGACAGTAGGCCAAGATGCAAATGTGGAAACAGGCAGAAGCCACAAACCAAACCCACCTTCACTACACATCAAAACCCCCCTGTGGTGCAGCAGCAGAGCTCCTCAAGGAGGTCTCAGACATACTGTGCTAAGGGATTAGCTAGTGGTATGTGGATGGCCACAATTACAAACATATTTTGGCCTTAATGAGGACGCAAGGTCTTTTGTTTCATTATACATAAACATGGATTTACACTGGAAATACTGAGACTTGTGCTTTTGAAGGGAAATCACTTTGACGGCTGGAAACATGAGTTTGTGATGTCAAAATTATTACAGCACCAGTTTCTGGTTGGTAAAAATTAAATGCATCAGCTGGGCCACAGCTCTGATCCTGTGTGAAAACCTCCCTATGAAAAAGGAGAAAACAATGAGAATCATAGAACGGTTAGGGCTGGAAAGAACTTCACTGAACAGTTTGGGATGGAAGGGACCTTCAGAGGTCACGTAGCCCAACCCCCTGCAATCAGCAGGGACATCTTCAACTAGATCAGGCTGCTCAGAACACATCCAGCCTGGCCTTGAATGTCTCCAGGGATGGTGCATTATGAGACCAAATTTCCCTCCTCCCCACTTGAACTGTTTATAATACTCTAATGGTATTATAAACTTATAAAAGCCTGTATTTATAATGCCAAGCATGAAACGAGACATACGCCCCTTCGAAAAGCATGACTAACTATATGATCTACCCTACAATACTGGTTATGAAATCGAGGTAATAAGGGGTTTTAACCCTGCCTTTCTCTAATTAATTATTCAGTTATGCTAATGGCACCTAACTAAGAATTTTCAGGCTATATGCACAAGTTATGTAGCACTACTAATGAAAAGTATCTCTGCTCATCAGACACAAGGACTGGATTTCTTTTCCCCCCTGCTACTCACTCAGAGATACTGGGCAAAGAGCTTAACTCTTGCTGATGATAATCCTGCATTTTCACATGCTTAGATTAAAATACTAAATATATGACAAGTTGATATCATTTAATTTCCAGAGTAAAACCATTTGTCATTACCCAGTTAATTTAAAATGAGTTCTTCATATGATGGCAGGGTCCTGGAAGATAAACTTGCATGGAATGTCTACATCATTGATGTTTATTCCAATGAGGTTGAAAGAAAAGCAAGAAGCAGCACTGATGTAACCTATGTAAAAATTATTGCCTTTGATGAGGCAAACCAGGAGGTACCTGCAGAAGAAGTAAAAAGGTCAGTATGGCACAGTCTGTGTTCGGGGTGTCAGAGCCATGCACCTGGGGTTTGTTCCCATGACAACTATTAATGTCTTGGACAGGGCAGGTTTAGATCAAATACCATTTTATCTGAGGTTTATCTCAAGGTTTAAAGGGGGGTTTTAGAATTCAGACAGCTTTCAATATTATTTATTGAAAAGCAGTTTTCAGAGTTTGTCAAAAACATGAATGATGCTGTTTATTTCATAAAATCATGGAATTGTTTGGGTTGGAAAGGACCTTAAAGCTCATCTGGTTCCAACCCCTGCCACGGGCAGGGACACCTTCCACTAGAGCAGCTTGCTCCAAGCCCCTGTGTCCAACCTGACTTTGAACACTGCCAGGGATGGGGCAGCCACAGCTTCTCTGGGCACCCTGTGCCAGCGCCTCAGCACCCTCACAGGGAAGAGCTTCTGCCTAAGAGCTCATCTCAGTCTCCCCTCTGTCAGTTTAAAGCCATTTCTCCTTGTCCTGTCCCTACATGCCCTTGCAAAAAGCCCCTCTTCAAGACTTCTTGCAGGCCCCTTTAGGCATTGGAAAGCTACTGTGAGGCTGCTTTTCCTCTGAGGAAAGTGCTGTTGGTATCTATAGGAGTACATGCAGCTGCCCTGATGTGGCTTTAAGGGATACTGACCTCTCAAGTTCCATTTTTCCCGGTGTTGCACCACTTTAGCTCATAAGCAACAGGGTTTGTTGCTGGAAAACAGAGTTTTTCCTGAATTAAAGACATGTCTGAGTCTTTGGAATAGGTCTGAGTGAACCAAGAAGTGCTATTTCTGTTGTTTTCTTCACTAGTCTTCAAGCCAAAGTGAAGGTCTGATAAGTAGTGAGCAGTTTACCCTTCTGTCTTCAGAAAACTTCAGGAGCAGAAGAGTAACATTGAGACAGAACTGGAGAAAATATTTTCAAGGCCTGTTACCACCAGCATAGAAGAAGCTCCTGCTGACTCAGCAAGTCCTGAACTCATTGCAACGATAGTGCTCAGTGTTCTGCTGGCCTGCAGCCTCATCGGCTTCCTGGTATATGTAGCTTTTACCATAAAAAGGTACAAATACTTTAACAATAAAACTTAGACTTTTACAACTAGTAAGTTCACTTTAAATGTCAAGCTGAAAAATACTTAGGCAGTACTCCAGGCAAATATCAGTAAACCATCAGCTAAGATTTGCTGCAAATCAAAATGCCTGGTGTACTGTAGGTGTTAGTGACACTGTGTGTAACTGAACATTGGATTCTCCTTGTGTTTGTCACGCAGCAACAGCAGAAACAGATTTAAAACCAGAAATGTGGACAGCAGACATTTCAGCTGTGACGGGGGGCACAAGGAGCTGTAATATACCCACAAACATTTCTTCTAACCCCACAAATGCTGAAATCAGAGCAGGTTTTGCTGCAAACTTCAGTGGCAGCAGGACTGCATTGTATAGGAAAAGGAATCCTCATTTCCAGGAGGGCAGCAGGTTATTTACCCTGCTGCCATTATGGAAAAACAGGAATACTCCAAACTTATCCTGAAACATTGTGTATTAAAGTCCTGGCACAAGTACTTTGAGCTCTGTTCTTACAAGAATTGTAAAGCCAATCTCCAAAAGGAACTAACCATTCTATTTGAATGTACTTATCACTTGCAGGAAGCAGGAGCAGCAGTATTTGGTTAAGCAGCGAGCTGAAACTGCGGAGGGTATTGATAATCCGTGGGCAACTGACAAAAATGGAAGCGTGAAAAGCTTAGAGAAGCTCGAGCACGTCAATAATGTGTAAGTAGAGTGGTGATATCCCAAGCTGATATAAAAATAGGGTATCAAAAGGTTTGGCTCTTGTTTATTCTGGTGATGACGCATTTTCCTTGTATCTTTCAGTGGTGTACAGATCAATTCCTAAGAACCCTTACAGTTACAAGTAAAAACTCAATGAATGAAGGGCGCTAATGCCTTTTAATCTTATATCCAAAATTACAAGTGCAAACTCCTATTTACTCTTTAGCCTTATGCATAAAATAACCCCCTTCAGGATACAAGAAGCCACTTAATGTTCGCCTGAATGTTAAATCCCATTCATTTTGGGATGAGCGTACACGTTGCTCTCAGTTTTAGAAAGGCTGAGATTCTTCTCAAGTAACTGTTTGCCAGCTCAAGGTGTTGGGAATTCTCTTCCCTCCTCCAGGGAAAAGGAAATGGTAGCGTTTAGCAACACTGGAAACACCAAAGGAGGAGACTCCGACAAAGATCTGATTCAGGCTGATGAAAAATGCACTTATCTTGAGACGCTGCTGTTAGATTTCGACAGCGAACACGAAGATAATGGAGCATCTGAAAAAGCTGCTGAGCCCAGAAATGGGGATGCCCAGCACACTGCAGATTTCACAGCCAAGCAGGTAACCAGCTTTCCAATTGCAAAGAGTAGGGCGAGATTTTATCACTCTCCATCAAATAACTGACAGCATTACCAAAAAATAAGTAACCCAGCGATGGAAACAGAAGTAATAGTAACAAAATCTTATGTGAAGTAATGATCAGTTATTGAGGAAGGGCTGTCTGTCCTGCTTAGAAGGAGGACAATAGCTTTGTGATCCAGAAATGATGATTTTCCTCTATCTTTTATGGCACGTGCACAGTAAAGGGTACTCATGCGCTGCTCTTAAAACCTGCAGCCTTAAAACAAATGCTTTCATTGCAAGCTTTGGAGACAGAATATAGAATCATAGAATGGTTTGGGTTGGAAGGGACCTCAAAGCTCATCCAGTTCCAACCCCCTGCCACGGGCAGGGACCCCTTCCACTAGAGCAGCTTGCTCCAAGCCCCTGTGTCCAACCTGGCCTTGAACACTGCCAGGGATGGGGCAGCCACAGCTCCTCTGGGCACCCTGTGCCAGCGCCTCAGCACCCTCTCAGGGAAGAGCTTCTGCCTTATATCTAACCTGAACTTCCCCTGTTTCAGTTTGAACCCATCACCCCTTGTCCTATCACTGCAGTCCCCAATGAACAGTCCCTCTCCAGCATCCTTGTAGCCACCTTCAGACTCCGGAAGCTGCTCTGAGCTCTCCTCACAGCTTCTCTTCTCCATAAAATAGTATCAAATATATTTATCTACGTAAAGTTACACTTCTGTAGTTACGCTTTCTGCCTTACCTGTGTTGCTCTCTTGCAGGACGGCTTTCTGACAGACAGGAACCAGGAGCCAGCTCTTTCCTTAACCCCACACCCCACAACGCCTCGCCCTGAGAAAGACATGAAAGGGGTCAAGTTCTCGGAAGTGGCCATTATTCTGGAGGCAGAGTTTGAAGACGATGAGCCTGACACTGCCGATGGGCTCTGCACCACCGCCAATGCTTGAAGCAGCAAGCTGCTGGCAAGAACACAGTGCCAGTACTGAGTGAAATGAGCAATAGGGATAAGGGGATGCTATCCAGGTTTTGATTCCTTCTGTTCCTCTTGCGGTGCAAGACACGGACAAACAACAACGTAAGCCCTAGGGCTGCAGGGGGGTTGTGACACAGGGTGCTGCCTCACAGCGCATTGATTTCAACGGCGAGACAATAAAACCGCTTCCCCGTGTGCTGCCGTGTCCTTACCTGAGGTGAAGCACACCTTGGGTGCGGGTTCTGCTGCTCCTTTGCACTGAGTCCTCCTCGGGGTTAGTTCACCCCAAGGAACAAGGGATGGGACAAGAGGAACCGGCCTCAAGCTGCACCAGGGCAGGTTTAGATGGAGCTGAGGAACAATTCCTTCCCCAGAGGGTGCTCAGGCATTGGAACAGGCTGCCCAGGGCAGGGCTGCAGTCACCATCCCTGCAAGTGTTCACACACTGTGGAGATGAGGCCTCAGTGCCGTGGGTTAGTGGTGGCCTTGGCACTCGAACCGGACCCCAGAGCTCTCTCCCAGCCCCGTTGATCTATGACCGGGACGCTCCCGCCCACCTTCACCCGGGGCGAAGGTTCCGGAGCCGGCCGCAGGCCCTGCGAGCTGGGGCGGTCCCTGCGCCGCGGTCCCCTCCCCTCCCCTCCTTCCCGGCCCTGCCTCCTCCTCCTCCCCGCCGCCGCCGCCTGAGGCGCGGGTGGGGGTGCAGAGGAAGGGCGGTGCGGCCTCGCCTTCCTCTTCCTCCGGCGCGCGGGGCGGGGGCGGGGAAGGTTCTGGCAGCTTCGTTGCGGGCGGCGGGAGCCGCTGTGGGTGCGCCATGGCCAAGTGGGGACAGGGGGACCCGCGGTGGATCGTGGAGGAGCGCGCGGACGGCACCAACGTCAACAACTGGCACTGGTGAGGGGAGGGGAGGGAACGGGGACGGGGCTGGGACGGGAGCCATGCGGTTAACGGCGGCGCTCCCCGGGGCAGGACGGAGCGGGACGCGACCAGCTGGTCCAAGAGCAAGCTGAAGGAGGTGCTGGTGGGGCTGGTGGTGGAGGGCGAGGCCGGGCGCTGCGAGATCAGCGACCTGAAGCACGTGGAAGGCGAAGCGTCCTGCAACAGCCGCAAGGGGAAACTCATCTTCTTCTACGAGTGGAACCTGCGCCTCAGCTGGAGAGGTACGGGGGGGTCCTGGTGCGGGTTGGCCTGGGGTTGAGCCTGCTCTGGCGCTGCCGGTTCTGCTGGTGTGCCCGGGAGAGATGGCTTTGGGAAGGGAGCTCTGCTTGGGGTTGGGAATGCTGTGGTAAACGGAGTCGGAGTCAAGGAGATGCATGGGCCTGAACTCTGTGCTTGTGTTTAATGTAAAAACCCCACCTTCTCTGCCCTTCGTCTAACTTGTTTTGTGCTACGCATGTATTTTAGGGTTGTTTTAACAGCACAGCATTCATACAGACATGGAAGAGGTTGGAAGGGGCCCTAAAGCTCATCCGGTTCCAGCCGCTGTCGCTGGTAGGGACACCTTAACTAGAGCAGGTCGCTCCGGGCCCCGTCGTTTTGCTCTGCAGGAAGTAAATGCTTGTGTTGTGGTGAGATCCGTATTGCTCCTGACAGCGGGCTCGAGCTGCCCTGGTGCCGGCTGTGCTGGTAGCAGGAGGCAGGAGATCCGGGGGGGCGTTCTGTGTGTGCTCTTGGGAATCCCGTGTCCTTTACATGGAGGATGCTGAATTGCATGAGGAGAAAACACGCAGTGGGAATAAGGAAGCTGCAAATCGTGATTATCTGGGATAAAGGGGCTGTGCTGCATCCCCTTGCCACACCGACTGCTGGAGGTTCGTCCTCTGCTGTGCTTGTCCCATGGCATCTCTTTGTCTGCAGCCTGACCTGGTAATGTATCTTTTAGTAGTATCAAGGGATTATGTTCATGTATGAGATGCCTAAAACCTGATGGCAGGCTGCGGGCCATCTCTTGTATTGCAGCAAAAGGCAGGAAGAGCTGATGAAAAGAGCCTGCCTGCACGGTCAGTTGTGCCTGGATATTGTAATGTCAAATGACAGCTGTTCCTCCCCAAAATACTGCACTTCTCAGGCCTCAGTTGTTACTGTAGGAGGTGGGAATAGCAGGGGCCATGCAGCAATACCAGTGCCCCAGAACAGCTGGGTAGTCTCTGGAGCAGTGTTTGGGGTGATGCTGTTGCAGTGGGTGCTTGGGTTTTGCACTTCTCTGTTTCATGGTGCCCTCTCCAGTGCGGTTCTTAAGGATTGTTTCCTCTTTGCTTCCGGTTTTCCTGACTGGAACTTTAATGTTCCATTGGATGCTGAGGCCAGTGCTCCTGTTGGAACAGATTTGCAGTTGAGGTTTTGCTCCTACAGTAACAGGGGACTTAAAGAAGTTCACATTGAGAGTTCTGTTTTAAATGTTTCAAGTGTGTTAGAACCTAGGAACACACAGTTGTGAGGTAAGCATTAACAGAGAGGAAGGCAAACGTTATCCTCTGGCCTGCAGTTTGTACCAGTGCAGTTTAAATAAGAGAAATCAGCTTTTTGATGTTCCGTTTGTTCGGGTGGTTGAAGGTTAAGTGCTAAACACTGGTTAGTTTGTTGGGTTTGTTTCCCTGAGCAAAGCTTAGAAATAGGCAGAAGCAGTATCTGGTTTCTGTTTCTGTACAGATCCTTTCTGCGTTCTTTTTCCTCTGCTTGGTCTTCCTGCTTTTCAGAGTTTAACTATAGAGAACTCTGTTTTGATTGGGCGCTGTGCTTAGTGTTGTGGCGAGTGGATAAGGTCTTTGAGAGCTCAGTTTAAAGGAGCTTGCTGCTGCACAGTGAAATCCTATAAGAGCAGGGGCTGATGGTTTTCTCTCTTAATCTGATAGTGTTTTCTGGGAGCTCTGAATTAGACATGAGAGTTCAAACTGAACCGCTACAAACACTAATTGCTGTAATTAGATCCTGCTACAAGTCTTGTGGCATAGCTGGGAGTTCAAGCTATGAGTAAGACGTGGGTACATAAGGACAAGCTGGAATCTGCAGGCAGTTTGGAAAGGCTAACATTGGAAAAACATTTCCTGTAGCACTTTAGGTTACAGAGCAGCAAGAAAGCGAGGAACTAAGGGTAATTAATGGCACTAAAGTTGAGCAAAATGGCTCTTCTGCAGTTTGTTTGAAGGTGTAGTGAGGGTTTTTATGGCTTATTCCATGCTGTGGTGGAAGCTGTGTGTCCTTTTGAAACTTGGGTATTTCAGCAGTGGGGTTATAGGTAGGTGTTGCTGAGACATGGGCCTTCACCGTTCATTTTCTGAAGTACTGAACTGGCAGGACACAAAAGAATGATGTATTCTTGGGACTGTTATTGGAGTCCTGTGGGCTTCCAGCCAACAGTGTGATTGTTTCCTTAATAAATAGGTAAGTGTTTTGCCTACATTGCAGTGACGCTGAAAATGCGGAGCTGTACTCGCGTTCTGCCTACGCCGCTGTTAGCTGACACAACTTTGCTGTCCAGCGCGGTACCATCTGCATTAACCCCTTGGACAGGCAGTCTTTTGAAAGGGAAAAACCCCTGGTTTAATGAATTTAAAGCTGTTCTGTGGCCTGTGTCATTGGGGATTCTTTATTGTAAGAGTTGTGAAAGTTGTTAGTAAAATGAGCTGAGCGGGTGTAAGTCAGGTTTGTGTTTTGTGCCTAAAATCTGTTTCCTGCATACTTGCACTTCCTTCCTGGGGAGAGTAGCTGGAAAGAAGATTTGCTTTGCTGTCTGCAAAAGTAGTGTTGTGTGGTGTTCTCTGTACTAATCCTGGAGCTGGGAGAAAGCAGGAAAGAGCAAACTGAGATGGATGTGTGTGATTTTCTGTATACCAGAAGTGTTTTACTGGTATAATTGAACTAGTTCACATGGCTTCATACTTGAGCTAACAGGTTCTCTTGGGGGACTTGGAGATGCTCAAGAGAGGTCTTTTAGCTTAGCTTTACCCTGCATGGATGTGGTTGCCTGTGTCTGGGTTAGCAGGCTTTGCATGGCGCCCTGTGCTTCGCTGGGTCCCGTCTAGGAAGGGATCTTTGCTCCGTGCTCCACTTGGTGTTAGTAACCATCATGTGCTCTTTGTTTTGCCAAGAAGCATCTGAGCATTTGTTCATGTACTTGACCAGTAGCATGTCAGGTTATATTCATGCATAGCTTACCCCTGTGTGGGTCGTTTCAGGCTAGTAATTAAAAATAATGGAAGGAGAGTGATGTTAAGCAGAAGCTGGGTCTAAGTAGCTCCTTTGAGGCTGAGAGAATCCAAAGAAGTATTACATCTCCTTCCTGGTAATTCCCCTTCTGCAGTCATGCTTCACACTGGGTTGTTTGAGTGTTTAGAGTTCTGCTGGTAGACTGCTAAAGCTTGTTGTGTTTTGATACCTAAGCTGATAAACCAGGATGCAGATAACTGGATCTGGGGTAGAACTGCATGTTCTGCTGCTGCTTTCTGAAGAGATCTTGACATGATCTAAACAGTGGATTAATTTAAATAACTAAATGCTTTTGCAAGGCCAGGGGGAAGAGTCTTGAGTGTTAAGATTAAAACAAGCATCAGTCCTTAAATTCAGCCTTTTAACTCTCAGGCATGAGGTAAGAAGGTGCAGTGCAGGGTCATATCCCATATCCACTACCAGTCAGTAAGTGATGGTGGGCCTCTGCCCAGGAGGATGCAGGAGCAGAGTGTAACTTCTGTTCTTGCAGAGCCTTCCTGGTGTGTGCAGTGATCACGGGCAGTTTGCAGTAAGGCTTTGAGCAGAAGAGTGAGTGTTCTAAAAAGTCTCCATTACGTACCTGCTACACGTACATATGTTTTACAGTAACGTGCCTGTGTGTTGGAAGCTTTTTGGATATTCAGGAAGCAGGTAAGAGCGTTCTGGGGAGCATCCAAATAAAGGGCAGACATGTTTAGGGAAGAGGAAGTTATTTTTCCCCTACCCCCTTCTAGGTACACGCTCTGTGTTGGCAGACACAACACAAGAAGTTGTAAGTGTAGAGTATCAGAACAACTGACAGCTGAAGGTGAGAGCAGTGGCAAAACGAGTACCTGTGTGTGTGTAATGATCTGACTGCATCCATACAGGAACATACAGTCCTGGGAAGAGTTTACTGTGAAACTTTACTGCTGAGTTTACCTTTGAGACTTTTTGCTTGCTGTTCAATCCCTTTAAATGGCGTTCCAGGCAGCTTGCTTCCAGTAGAGCTTTTGTACAACTGATTTCCAAGCCTAAAAGTCTTGCAATGGGGGAAATAGTTTTTAATAATGCATTTAAGAATTCGTTATGTTAATACAGGTACAGTGAAAGAGTCTGGTGAGAAACATAAGGGATCTCTTGAAATTCCTAACCTGTCAGAAGAAAATGAGGTAGATGATACAGAGGTAGGTGTGCAATACTGATACGGCTGTATAGGTTCAGAATTCTTAAATCATTAATCAACACAGAGGCATCGTGTTTTGCTTTGTCCTGTGATTAAGTGGGATAATTACACTTGGATGGTTTATTTCATGCTTTTGTTTCTTATACTTTAGGCTAATGACTTATGTCTGTTCTCAAATTTACCTACTAGGAATGTGCGCAACTTACTCTGCTAATTACTGTTTGTGACAATGTATTAACCACAAGGTTGAGAAGAACTTTGCTCATTGTAGTGTTAAAACACCCAAACCCTAAGAGCTTAAGGACCCTCCTTGTTGGTTGTGTAGCAGCAGTCGGTACTGTGGCTTCCACAGGTTCCTCAGCCTCGGCTGTGAAGTAGGCACCTCTGCTTATACTTGATGAACTTGATTAAGCTATTGTGGAGGTGAGATACAGCATTTATTTAAGTCTAAACCCAAGAGAATGTGTTTGTAGCAAAGGTAGGATAAACCGAGAAGATAATGAAGTTGAAGCTGTCCTCTGAATGTAGTAAACAGAGCCAGAATACTTTCTTCTGTTGCCAGAACCCAGCAGGCTCATGTTCAGACGCCTCTTACTTAGATCTTGGCATTTTTCTGTTTCTAGATAAATGTTAGCAAAAAGAAAGGGGAAGGCGATGTCCTGAAGGATCTGATGAGAACTGAAGGAACCACAAAAGTCAGAGAGGCCTTGAGAGATTATCTGAAAGCACTTAAAACAGGTAAATCAAACCTTTGTGTAAAGGATGGTTTTATGCAGGCTACTTTCTTGAACAGATTGGTGATATATTGACAGGTCCTTGGGTTTGTATCGGTTTTAACTGCCACCAGCTGTTAATCCTACCAGTCAAAACCATTACTGCTGTCAAACGTGGCAGTGTCCAGAAGCTTCTGCAGTGACCCAGCCTGGATTGTGTTACACACTGCCCACAGCCATCGCTGTCAGCCCTGCGGCCTCACTGCTTGGCTGGCAAAGCAGTGCCTGACCGGCAGCTTGGCGGTTCTCTGCCAAACCTGTCAGAGCATTGTGGAGATGGTGCAGCACTTAATGGGCAGATGGTGGTAATCTGGGGTAGCTTTGGAAAACCTGTGTTTTTAGGCATCACTGTTAGGCTCTGTTACTAGTAGAAAACATATAGGTGAGGTGAGGAAGCTGGACTGGAGTTGTATGTCTCATTCTGTGCTCCCATTCTTGCAGTCTTTGTTAGGTATCTAAATGCCAGGGTGATTTTTACAGCTCAGTTTCATGCTGAAAAGTGCTTTTCTTTATTCCAGAGTTTACCTTGGGAATGATTCTGCCAACAAAAGCTACTGGTGGTCAGGAGCTGGCCACTGAGCGAAAACTAAGTGGGCACACCATGCAAGTACGTTGGCTTTGTGTGTTAAAGCTTAAGTTTGCCATCAATGTAGCCCCTCCAGCTTTTGCTGGGGTCACAACTGTGTATTCCTGTGGCCACCTGCAAAAGTGAAAGGCTTTGGGGTGGAACTCCCTTCTCACTGCTGTGGTCAGGGCCTGCAATACAGAAAGGACCCATCACAGCTCCTGGGCATGGGCTTGCCAGGGATGGAAGGAATCATTGCATTTATGTACCCCTTAGGGCTTTGTTTTGTGATGGTTGTGGCTCCAGCAGGGTGAAGCTGGAATCCACCTGCACAGATCCCTTCCCTCAGGCTAAAGTTAGCTTCAGGTGGCTTTAGAGCAGATCACACAAACTTAATCTGGTGAATCCTAATTAATAATACTGTCAAGTAAATATGGGAATACATTGTGTAATTGACATCTGTTCACAACACAGTATGTTAAAGAATGCACAGGTACCACCATTCCTGTGATGCCAGACTTGTGTTTGACCCTGCATGCATTGACATGAGTGGTCTTTTCCTTGCAGGATTCTGTTTCACCACAGGATATAGTTGGTGTAAAAATCCCAACAGTGAAGATACTTATGAGAGAAATCTTCAACTCTCCAGCAGATGAACTTTACAGCATCTTCACAACTAAGGAAGTAAGTGATGCTTTCAATGGGCGATATAAGGTCATGCGGATGCTTTTATAGCTGAATAGTTGTGTAAGCAATAAATGAGCCTCAAGTGCTCAGTAGTGGTGCTGCTGTGATCCACAGCTACCAGGTTAATTAGATTAACTGTTGGATGAGATGATGCTGTCACTTACAGGGTATGAAACAGAAAATTACTCATAATTCAAAAGAGCCTGGGTTGGTATCAGAGAACTTCCAATCACAATCCCAATGCCTCCAGTGGGAAAAAGCAATGGCTCTCAGCAGCAATCCTGCACCTTCCTGGAGCTGCTGCTAGCTCTCAGTCATTCCCAAACCTAGCAACAGCCAGTCATGTCTATGTGTGTATCTGTGTGCTTTGTCCATGCCCCTTGCACGTGGCTACAACCTGTATTGGTCTTTGTATTTGCCAGTACATCGTTGTCACCTCACTGGGCCCACCACGGAGCTCAGTGGAGGGCTGCATAAAATGACCCACCCAGTTAGTGCTTGATGACTCTTATGTATATTAGTTTAGTTAATTTCTTCTTGTCTCACACAATGTGCATTATGTGTCAGTACAGAGTTGCAGTGAGGTGACTTGTGCTGTGTTCTGGTTTTGCTAGCTGGTACAGAAGTTTTCTAAGTGCCCTGCTGTGATTGAAGCCGAGAAAGGAGGCAGACTTCAGATGTTTGATGGCTCTGTCAGCGGTGAATACACAGAACTGGTAAAAAGTTCCTGCTTTGCACTTTAAAAATGGGGGGGGCTGGCAGTGGTGCCTTCTCTGAGGTAAAAATGGAGCATAAGGAAGTTCCCGACAGTTCAGTTTCTGTAATGAATGTTCAGTTCCTCTTTTAAAAGCCAAAAACTATTGCTATTATGGTGTGTGGTTTTTCTTCCCCATCCAAAGAGCAGGTGCTGACCTGCTCTGGGGTAGAAAACTCTCAGCACCATCCCCTTTTACTGGGGTGGGGGGGAGGAAGCAGGTTTAAGGTTTATCTCCCAACTCCTATATCAGTTATTCTTGTAACTGGAAAAAGGATCTCTGTTCCATTTGGGGCTTTTGACAATGCTCAGCTCCGTTTGTGAAACCTCTGAAATCCATTTTCACAGTTGCTGAGCTTAGATTTGGTACCTTACGTCCGTCCAATGGCAGGCAGTGAGTATCACTGACAACTGGACTGGAAAACTGGATTCTAGGTCCAGCCTAGTAAAGTCTGTTGCTGACACCAGAAAGATTCTGACACTGCAGAACTGTTACGCCTGAGCTTGGCTTCAGCAGTGACAGCCCCTGAGGGAGGGCAGTTACTGTCATCAGCCTTTGCAATTGGATGAGGAACTGTTCAGGTGAAACAGTCAGGATCAATGTAAACTCAATGGCTCAGTGAAAACATTGAGCTGGTTTAGGCCAGCCTTCAGCTGACTGAGTGCTTACACTGAAGCGCTGCCTCCCTTTGCACGTGAGCTGGTGCAGGCTGTAAATCATTTTTATGTAGTGCTGCCTAAGCTGGACATTCAGGCAGGCCCAGTTGCTTAACAGAAAAGCATGGGCAGGCTCTGGCAGGCTTATAGATTTCAGAGGTGAAACCATTCCCAATGCCCATTTCAAGGTCTGCAAGAAAACCAGTGTTTGATGTTTAATAACTGATCAGCCTGACCTTAACCCATCCGGAAAACAGAACAGTGGAAGGCAGGAAGCAGAGACCTTGATGAAAACAGTTTATTTACAAACCAAACCCCAATCTCTGTGTTATCTATTACATAAACCACCACTCCTCTGGCTTTTCAGGGGAGAATTGGCACTGAGTAGTTGTAACGTGAAGTGTCTCCAATGCTAATGAGGAGAACCTCCTGCTCTTCTTCCAGGTGCCAAGCCAAAGAATTGTCCTGAAGTGGAGGTGTAGAAGCTGGCCCGATGGTGAGTCTTTGTGAGCACCTCTGATAGCAGCTACACTTGGCAGGGAGAAGGAGCAAGCGTGACTGGTGCCTTGTATTCTTTGGAGACAGCCTCACGACCATAGCTGCTGTGGGCTGTGAAAAGAAGCTTTGCTCACGGGCAGAAGCAGACAGGAAATTAGCAACAACAGACATGATCCTTTAAAACCCACTTTATTGAAATGTCTTATTTTCTTCCCCCAGAACATTATGCAGTGGTTGCCTTGAGTTTCAAGGATATGGCTGCTCAAACAGAACTGCAGGTAGAGTGCAAAGGAGTTCCCGTCTCTAGTGAAGACAGCACAAGGCAATGCTGGAAGCAGCAGTATTTTGAAGAAATCCATGTTTTACTCCAGCAGTCCAAAGACACCATGGAATGATGCCAGCTCCGTCGTTTTGTTAGGGCATTACTTTTTATACTTTGTTAACATTTGTTTTTTTTTAAAAGAAGTAATTTATTTGTGGGAGGAATAAAGACCCATGTCTGATACTGTATATAATTTCAGCATTATTTATGGATTTTTAGTGAATGAGGAGGCACGTAATGCAGACTCTAGCTATAAACAGCTTTACTGGGGGAAACCGATCTCTCTTCTGCTTGCTTGCAACTAAATCTAAAGTAGTAACGATTCAGCTGCAGTGAAGCACCATCATAGGTAGGTAAGTGACATGAATCAGTAGGAAGCATTTGCTGTTCTTTAATATTCAGTGTATCCAGTGGAAAACCTAAATCCCTCAAGGACACAGGGTTCCCATCAGAGGTGAACTAAAAAAGGGATTATAAAACTGTTGATACATTAAATCTTATAAGAAATGGGAGGGATTTCACTTACAGCATCTTTAAATACTTCTTAAAATGGCTTTAACTGCAAACTGAATTTGTTTCTAACTCTGTAGCCAATTTTAGGGAAAGATCATTACCAGCCCGTGTTCTGGGTGGTACAACAGTTACCACTGGTAAGCCTGCATGCGCTTACTTGACCTCAGCCTGAAATTCCCTTTTGGAAGAAAGTAATAACGCTTTCTCTTTGCAATCCTGTGCCCCTTCCCCTCCAGTCATTTATGGGCCTCTGCAGTGCTGTGGCTCAGATTCAAGTGAGCAACTGTTTGTTGGAGAAACGTGACAGGAGCAAAGCTGGGCTGTTGAAGGTAAAGAACTGTTACTCTTACGTTGAGGTTAGCAAGGAGAACTTCAGTGTTTTATAAAAAGTGTATGAATTAAGTATGCAATTTGAAACAAACTGACCAAAAAAAAAGGGCAAAATGCCTTTGGAAAATGTGGTTGACTCAATAAAAGGTTATTTTACATGCAGTTTGTTTTCTCCGTTAACTGATACTGCCAAACTAAATGAGTCTCTGTAGAAGTTAAGTTCTACATACTTCATCTTCACCCTCCACCAACCTATGGGAGCCTTACCACCCATAACCCCACATCATCCAGGAGCTAACAGAAGTGTGCTGTTCTTGCCCACAGGTGAGGTTTTCCCTGGAAGGTTTGCAGTCAGTTATTATCCCCTTTGCGCTTCAGTGAGGTTTGTTGTAGTAACACAAAGGAACACCCCATAGTGACAAAGTAGATGTACAAACTGGTTACTAAGTGTTGTGTTGCTGGTGTTTCAGGTGTCCAGATAGAGGGTGGAGAACAGCCTCTGGAGAAGTGTCCTGTTTTAGCATGTTTCTGCATGCTCAGATGTAGTAGCCTTTTGCAGTAAACATTTGAGGACAAAGAGCCTAACAGCTGGAATACAGAAATGATTAGGTCTTGGTTGATGGAAGGAACCTTTAAATAGAAAATCTAGGTTTAAGACATATGAGGCTGAACAGCTTTTTGGGTAATGACCTGTTTTGTGACAATTCAGTATCTGAGAATGGGCTGTTCCATGTGATTACAGCTGCCCTACAGCCCTTGTACTTCCTCACCAGTTCTCCCTCCTAAGAAAGCCCTTCCTCCATAGGGTCACAAGTGCCCACCCCTCGTGTGTTTTACTAGTCTCAGTTTTCTTGTGTCCTCCCACAAGCAGGAGCATTCAGCTGCACCAACTGCTGACTGCTGGTGGTACAGGAGTGACTTACTTGTATGTCCAGTGTCGCACCACTCACTTCAGATGCCCCAGAGACCTGTGGCAGTGGCTGCTGGGAGGACCAAGAAGGCAGTGAACTGAAGAGGACACATCTTTGGTGTTCTGGTTCCCTCGTGCCTGCACAGCTGTGGGTGTGACAACAAGTACAACCTTTCTTAGGTTAAACCCATGAAGTACCTACCCTGCTGGTAGCATCCCAGCTGTAAACAGCCCCCAATGGCTGTTGCTGCAGGTAGAGAAATCAGGATGTCTTTTTCCTTCCCCAGCATCCCTGCATTCCCATCTACACCGCATGTGCAGCTGACAGCAGGGTTGTGTGGCAGACCTGGAAGTTCAGTTTCTGCACACAGTTACCTTGGAATGGAGAAAAAGAGAAGTTCATTTTACCCACAGCAGGAGTGTTCCCAGCACCATCAGCTGCAGCAAACAGGGGCAGTCACCAGCTTACAGAGGCAAAATTCATTCTTGAGTGCTGAAATTCCTCCTAGACTCTAACCAGTAAACCCAAAGGATGCTAAACTCCTTTGTTATCCCCACCCCCTGAGCTGGAGGGAGCAGTTAGGAATCACACATCATTTAGTAACAGGCTGATGATAATAATACGATAGGATCGTACATGATGGAATTACAGTATCATGAATGCAGCTTGTCTTCTAAACAAGTCCCCATGAAGAGCTCCATACCCTGGAATTCTCCCCAGTATAACAAAGGGGAAAAATGACAGGAGGGGAGACAGATGTATGGAGGCTGTGGGAATGTGTTCAAATGTACTGGAATTCCTGTTTTAAAGAGACGAATGAGCACGGAGGACATTCCAGGGAGAGCAAACAGTATGCAATAAGCAACAGAGCAGAAACAGGAAGAGATAGATAGCTTTGCTTGTGATGTAGTGCTTTTATAATGTAAGGTTCTGGACAACCACGTGGTCTCTGAGAAAGCCAAAAGGAAAACTGATTAAATGGGAAGGACAGGGTTTGTATGACTACAGCCAGAAATCAGTGCAGAGGATGGTCTCCACAGTCCTGAGTGCACAAGCCCAGACTGGCTGTTGGGGACTCTGCACAGCGAGAGCAGAAAGTATTCAAAAAGCTGAACTGTGAAGGGGTTTAAAGGGAGGTGGGAATTCCAGGAGGAAATGCACAATCACGAGAGGTGGGATGAGCCATGGAACAGCATGAGAGCTTGAAGAGATGAGGATGTCGGTTAAAGATGGGGTTGTCAAAGACAGGGATGAAAAAGCATCCTGGAATGCAAAGGAATGCAAGTCAGAAAATGGTTTAAAGAAGGGGAATACTGTGGAAGAAATGGGTCACATACAGAGCATGGAACATGGGGGACCCACAGGAAGATAAAGCAGCAGGGGCAGGCAAGGGTAGGGAAGAGGAGATGAGTAGTGGGGGAAAATTCCCAGTAAAAACTGCAGGAATACTGCAGGGGGGCCATGGGAAGGTGATGCGAGGGAGGAGCAGGAAGGATGGTTACACTGCTGGAAGCCTGGCACCAGTTTTTAAGCCAAACAGTACAAAAGGTGCTATTAAATTCAGTCAGTTGAGACCTACAGGATAAATAACTACAGCTCGCAACGTGCTCCATAGCATCTTGTAATGTTTGCTCAGGCTTTCTGAAGAGGCTGCAAAGGAGCTGCTGGCCTAACGTGACTTAGATGTGTCTTAACTGTGTAAAGGTGCTTGGCTTAAGGAGCCACCATATCCCAACACCCCACAACCCTGAGACATCATATGGAACTGTAACTTTCAGCAGTCCTTGTTAATGGAAAAGCATTATAAATGGACTTCAGCTGGCATTCCAAATGCCACCAGACACCCGTATTTGTGAGAAAATAATTGACAATGCAATGTAACTACTGACAGCATTGGCAAATGACATACATGGGTCTGCAGGAGCAAACAAAGGCCCATCAAAGTGCTGATGTTCATCTGGGAGCACAAGAGAGCAAGAAGGATGCAACACTTAAATACTGTTTGTACTTGGCACGCTTCACAAAGAGGGGTTGAAATAATGAGAAAGAAACATCACAAAAGACAGAATTCCTTGCTTTCATACCAGAATTACGATGTGAAGTCATCCTCTATGTGAAGCTGAAGCCACCAAAGGGCACTATCGGACAACGTCCCAAGGATCAGATGCACATTTTCAACAGGAGGAATTAAGTGAGATTACTCACCCAAGGGTCAGAATGGCTGCTCCAGCTCCTGAAGGTGCATCTTGAAGGTATCTTCCTACACACATCGTAATCCAACCGCAAATAGTAGGCTTGGCAGAAGCTGACAGATGAACTCTGATACTCATTACAATCTATGGAGAAGTTGATCAGAAACAGTAATAAAATTACTCCTAAAGGGAGTGAAGCCATCATTACTTCATGTCTGAATAATAAGGAGACCAACTTAAGCACTCACCAGCATCAACACAGTGTCTAATTGCACGAGTAAAAGTGCTGGTTAAGGGGAATATAAAGTGTAAACTGTAAAGACAAATTATTGCTTGTAGGTTAAAAATACTGAGAGTAGATTCTAGGAGAGTTAAGAGGAGCCACAAAAGCATCACATAATAGAATTGTAGAGAAGCAAATGATGCTCAACTACATTAAATGGTAGAATGAAGGAATTTGGAAGAAAAAAGGCCCAGATAGATGCATCATGAAGACAATAGAGAAACAAATGAGCTAAGCAACTGGAAAATGAAGCTGAAAATGGAGTTTAATCAGATATTAAAACCAGTATCATTGACAGTCTGAAAAGTCACATAGGAAATAATGGATATTGCTCGGAAATCACAGGAGGGACAGGGAAAGATGATAAAGTCATTCCAGCATTTGAGGGGTGCAGAAGCCATCAAGAAAGCAACAGCCAGAGGGAGCAGGCCCCTGGGCAGCAGGTGGAGGGGAAAAGGAAGCAAATCTATGGATGGTGCAGGAATAAAACAGGGCTAACACAGGTCAGAGTTAGGGAAATGAAGTTCCACTGGCTTCTGCACCTCTTTATGTTCCAACACAGGGGGGAGAAAGTCAACAACCACCAGGCCCTCTCAGTTGTGTGACTGAACATCCATGCAAAGTAAACCAGAAGTGGACCAAGCTTTACATTGATTATATACAACGGATCATCGTTCCTCTCTGCAGCCGTTTCAGTGAGCAAGTTGTCTTTGCTGGGAAATCCAAAGACTGAAGCCACATATTATAAACAAATGAAAAGTCATCACAATCAGTTTAATGAAGTGCACAGAATAGCAATTGATCATGTCAATAAAAATAAAACAATTAATTTTACATCAAGTGTGCTTTATTTCCTCCACAGGTATTCTGTTAAATAAAGCACCATATATATACTGCCAGGCCACAGCTAAAGAGGATTCTTTACAGAATCAAATTTCTTGTGGTTGTTTAGTATACAAGTAAACTTAATTTTTGATAATAAGAACCACAGCGATCTGAGGCAATCTGCCTCTATTATAAGGTACAAAACTGGCACAGAGGACACCATATTATACACAGTAAAAATGCCATAAGTTTAAATTACATCATCCAGGGCCAGGAGGCCCTGTTCTCCCAGACAGCCAATATTAAATGAAAGCCACTACAGTGAACTCTTAATTACATAAAACATACCCATTATCTGATTGCCCTTTAAGAAAGTGTACGGTAGATGCAAAAGAAAACAGAAAATCAAATGGAAACAAAAGAAAAACCAACCCAAATCTTGAGTTCTGCCTGACCAAGAAGGAAGCATAATAAATCTATCTTGCCATTCAAGCAGAGAGCACTGGACAAACTGAAGCACAAAACCAGAAATAAGCAAAACTTATACAAACAGCATTTTTTGGGGGTGGAGGGGAAGGAAGGAAGGAAGGAAGGAAGGAGAGAAAAATAAAAGAAAGACTTAAAAGCAGACATGCTCCATCTAATGTCAAGAAGCAGCTTGGTTTCCTTTTCCAGATATCCTTGTGACCACGTGAATCGTAGACTCAATGGTCCTACACAGGATGTCTAAAATGTCATGCTGCGGCATGTGACTAAAGAGTCCTCTGGAATGGCCACAGCTGATTGATAAACTAGATTCGGGGTCCTGGGATGGTAAGGCTTGACCATCACAGCCTCTCAGATCTGCGAGGTCGGATAAAACCGCTGAAATCGATGTGGAGGGGAACTCCGAGTCCTCCTCGGCTCCAATGGGATCCTTGGAGGTTTGCAGGTCTTTAAACTCTTTGCATT